TCGACAGATGGTAGGAGATCACGTGACTTCTCCTTTGAATATCAGCTAGGATCCTTGTCCCCTTCTGCATTTCCATCATAACATATCATCCAATGATTCTGCCTTGACTCCCCGCATAGTCACGTGAGACTGGTGTGGCTAGGTCTGTAACAGGTAGGAAGCAAAGGATATATAAGGACACTCATTCATGTACTTAGTTTAGTTCTTTGTGATTGTTCTCATCAATCAAGCATTGGTTACCTTTCTAGTTCAGACTCATCAGCACTAAAACCAACAGCTAAGTATACATACTTAGTTGGCCTTGTTTCTCTACTTTGTTACCTTTATCAGACTTACTTGTTACGGAGCCTGGCTGGGGCGATATACCAAGCGGCGCACTACGACATAGACCCTAGGGGTCTAACCGATATAATGACGACGAAGGACACTCAGGTGAGTGCCCCCAACTGAGACTTAGCTAACTAGAACCCTAGGTTACGATACGAGAGAAGCCAGGTTGTGACAGCTGAGTCCTGCGCTGCCAATGGCCCTGCTTGTTTGTTAACATGAGATCACAGGATGTCCAATGTCAACTGAGCCTGCTTGGAGGTCTGCTGTTGCCATGTGCTTTTCAGCCTGGAATATGTGTCTGAATCACATCAGTCAGTACACACTTAGACACCCCCAGAAGCCTTGCTTACCTGCAACTATATTGGCATTGAACTTGGCAGTGATGTATGATCCTCCACTATGCTCTGCGTCTAAAAGGTTGACAGTTATACATATGTTCAACTGTTCAACTGTTCAACTTCCTCGCTTTTCTCGCTGTAATTGGGTTCAATTTCTCGGATTTGTCTGCTGTATTGGGCGTGTTCTATTCATGTAACTACAGTAATTTACTGTGCATTACCTGTAATGTTAATACTAATGTAATATAACGCACTGTCATACTGTGACTAGTCTGTATCTATGTACGTAATAAAACAAGTCTATTTCAGATCCTTACATGACATGTGTACAGAGTACAGTATTTGTACTGCTTGGTATCTTCTGGATACCTGCCAGCTTCTCTAAGCTAATGCGGACATGGCTTCAGTTCTAGGACATTGCTTCTACTGTCACGGAGCATGAACGCCCATACTCTTGACATCTACTATGGTCTTCATAGACAAACATCTCCTTAAGAAACCTTAAACTGACCTGAATCCTCTTTAGCTGGTACTACAGTCAAGTAATGGACTCCCTTTCCTGTCTACAGCAGTATGTTTGTTTAGCCAATTTGAGTATCCAGCACCCAGCCAGTTGTTCTTCTCCATTATTCCTATCGTTCCTTCTATATAAACTGATGATGAATTCTATGAACGTAGGCCTCCTAGCATTTCTTATTTTATTCAGTATCATATTTTACATATGCATTGAGACTAAAGATCAGTGCTTTCATTTATAAGGCTCATTATGACGACTCAATGCTTCAGCGCCGCCTCAGTGGCTGATATCATATTCTCACAGGGACTGCACATTCAATATTGCTTGTTTCAGGGGGTCCACCATTTGCATCAAGATTAACATCATGAATTCTGAGTGACCTGCAATAGCAGGAGTGCAAACTGAATCATCTTTGCAACACCTCTCTGTTCTTTCGCGGCAGCTCTATAGAATTAGTCGGACTGGGGTAGTTTCTTTTTTGTGATCAGATATAAGTAACCACCGTCAACAATGTCGTGGCTTGGCGAAATATCTTAAGATATGTATGTGGACGTCCACTCGCGGAGCTTTTCTCTGCTTTTGAAGCCGAGCTTCTGCTCTTTGAGTATTTTCTCAAAGGCTGTCCTTTGTCTAACAAGCTAATTCGATTGAATTGTTGATATCCATGCCCTGTAACAAAAGAGGACACACAGCAGGAGGTCACCAACCCATATTGGAATGACAAAGCTTTCGACTTTTGCTGGATTGATGTCTTGCCAGTTCAAATGGTCAGCAGCCAACGATCCACAGACTTCAGGAGTCTTGTATAGCAACCAGGAGAAGAGCGAGGAGGGGAGCGAGGAGGTAGATTAGAAAACATGACCCCTAAGCCTACTTCAGCTCAAAGGTAAATCTCACATAAAATGACAGGGTGAATAATTTAGACTAACAGTGTGATCAGTCTCAAGTAATAACCTTGACTGGCTATGGTTGAACGTAAAGTATTTTCCTTTTCTTTCGGAGGAATTGCTGGCTATCTTGCCAAAAATGCTCTAAAGTAACCACCACTCCATTCAATATTATCTGCAATATCTTCAACATCATTCTATACTGCAAATCAAGAAGAGCATCGTCTTCTCTAGCATCATCAAGACCCTCCAAAACAACCAGCCAAGATATGATTCATAGCCTCGCGAGGCTGTGCCCCCGCGCAAGACTCGTATAACACCCTCCCACCCTCTGCCGCTATTCAAGATTTCAAGAAAACCGACCATGCAAAAAAAAAAAAAAAAAAAAAAAAAAAAAAAAAATTCACAATTACCATGTCCGGTCTCGAAGCCGCCGCCGTCGCAGCCAGCATCCTCCAAATCGCCGAAATAGGCATCAAACTCTCCATCAACCTCTACAACTTCTACCACAAGGTCAAAAGCGCAGATCAGAGCCTCCGGGCTCTTTCAAGCGATATCGCCCTGACATGCAATGTCCTACAACAATTAGGAAGTACCCTCAAACAAGACGACGAAGCCAAACTATGTTCTCCGCAGGCTCTGAGTACCGCCAAAGACGTGCTGGACGAGTGTAAGCGGGTATTCCAGCAGATTGACGATGCGATCAGAGAGTCGAATGTGGCTTCGGGGATGAGTCGGCTAGAGCGCGCTGTTAGGAAAGTTGCGTTTGTGTTGAAGGGTCCGGAATTGGATGTGCTTCATGGGAACTTGGGGAGTCTGAAGGCGACGATGGTTCTTATGCTTAATGTCGTTATGTATGCGGGGCAGATTCGGAGGTGAGTTTTTTTACTACAACTATGCGTCAAATGGACTCTGCGATGGTTAATGACCGGTCACAGTCGATCCGAAGCAACCGCTCTGAAAGACCAGCAGGGCCGGATCAAAGACCTCATGCTAGATCAACGCGAGAATGAGATCAGGATCAGATACCTCGAGATCGCCCAAGCTCGAAGCGAGATGGAAGATGGAACGATCACAGCGACACGAGCTGATTCGGTGGTCGATAATGCCTCTATTTTTACTGCTCCGGTTCATAGTCCAAAAGCCGAGATGAGAGAGTATTATCGCTTGATCAAGACTATATTATCCGATATCGACGCCTGCAAAGTTCATTTTGAACGACATCGCTACCGCAGAATCAGGGATGGAGTTTGGATGCTACACATGGAAGAGAATGACACTTTCGATGCTAGTTTGGTTCAATCGCTTAAGCCAAACTTTCCTGATCTTATTCCTGGTGGGTACGTATTTCTGTTTCTTCTCTGAAATTCGGTTGCGCGACGATGGAGAAAGACAATGCTGATTATGTACAGAAATCGACATATGCCTGAACTGGATCTTTCGGGGGAGATTGCTCGCCAAGCTCGTGAAGTAGTAAGAGCCATGAGTCACGCGGAAATATTACCACGCCGACGTCTCAGGAGACCGAAAATCAAGATCAAAAAAGATCAGAAAGATCCGCTTGGCGCAGAAATGAAGTCGTTGGTTATGGAATGGACGACTTTGGATAATGAAGAACTTCGGTAGACGTTCTACGATAGGAGCAAAAGACTTGGAGGACAAGACATTCAAAATAATCCAATGATATTTCACTAACTACAAGCTTACAATCTACCAAAGTATGTTGACCGAAAACATGGACCACTGTAACCACAAGGACAAGCAAGCTTGCCACAGAGGTTACCGCGGTGAGTAGCGGGTCGAAGATTTATCTTCTTTGCGAAAAATAAGCCTATACCACATGAAGGTCCAATCCAGGCCCGAAGGCGGGAAGGGACGGTAAGGGCCAGAGTGTGCAAAGGTTGGAACTGGGGAACTTTGTCTCCGACATGGTTCAACTTGCATGGGGCAGCAAGGAAACCATGAGAACAGTATGGAAATATGGATCTGGGACGGGGAAAGAAAAGAAAACGCGCCTGGCATTATTGTATCGGGAATCTGGAAGGTCATGACTTCGTAAAAACAACTTTTTGGTATCTCGTGTTTTGTGAAGGCAATGTTCATATTCTTCGTAACTAGCACTGCGAGCAGCCGGAAAGCATGCCATCACAAACCAGACGAAAGACCGCCGTTAATTAATTTACTCGGAGGGGACTGTAACCAATTAGCACGACATCCATATAAACCACACAAAACAACCAAAACATACTGTCAATCTCGCCAGCCTTGACGTCGTCAGAGACGTCCTTGGGGCTGCGGCCGTCAATACGGCAACCGACCGAGAAAGCGGTACCGAGGATCTCAAGGACGGTACCACGGAGCTCCTTGGCCAAAGAACGGTGGCGCATGATGCGGGCGATCTCGATGATGTCGTCGAGAGGGACCGACTTGGTGTGCTTGATGTTCTTCTCCTTCTTACGGTCACGAGGGGGCTCCTTGAGGGCCTTGATGACCAGAGAGGAAGCGGAGGGCACAACGGAGATGGCGGCCTGACGGTTCTGGATGGTGAGACGGACGGTCACACGGAGACCCTTCTGTAAAGCACGAAGAGAGCATATTAGTCTTCGTTCGTTTGGGTGTCGCGTTGCGATCGGATATTGGCATCCTTACCCAGTCACCAGTGTTTTTGGCGATATCTTCACCGATCTTCTTGGGGGACAGACCGAGAGGACCGATCTTGGGAGCCAGAGCGGACTGGGCTCCGACCTCACCACCAGTCACACGCAGGTGACTAAAGAATTGTTAGAAACAATTTTCTTTCAAAAAAAGACGCGACTCAATCTGACAGGGAATTTTCAACTTACATGATCTTCACCTCATTGGGGTCAAACTTGGGAGCTGCCCGGAGGTTACATGTCAGTCGCCAGCCATTATGATGCCAAGGAGATGATACTTACGCATGGCGAGTGCGAAAGGTCGTCAATCGTCCTTGTTTTTGTTGGTCGGGTTGGTATGCACGAGGAAAGAAAAGAAGACCGTCGGAGCTCGAAAAAGTTGGCGGATATTTAACTGTCTCCGCACCTCCACTAAGCGAGATCCCAATGCGGAATAGCCGCTAGGGTACAGACGCAGTCACGTGATATCGAATTGCCAAATTAGGACATGAAATGGGAATCGTTTGTAAACCGTTGATTTTACTCGAGTACTAGTTGCTATATCGCGAAACAAGAAATTAAAGAAAAGACTTAAATCACCGCTAAGAATACAAGCGACCGGAGAACCGATATTAGACCGCCCTTTACCTTCGTGATGGCCATTACTTCTTCACATCTAGCTGGTTCCAGACACCGCGAGTCTATCAGAACATTAGCATGAATCGCATTGCGCCAGGATCAACAAGTAACTTACTTCATCAAATGGTCCATGAAGGTTTGCAAGGAGACATCGTCTGTGAAGATGGTCTGCGATGTCATACCCCCGCCGTAACCTCCAGTGGTGTGTGTGGTGGACGGGTTGAGCTTGGACAGAAGGAAACGTGCTTGAGAACCACCAGCATCACAAACAATGAAACGGGGCAATGGGAAACGATCGGCAATAAGTTCCTGCAGAAATAAACTGATTAGCCTGTGACCGTAGAACTGGGAAACAATTGGGAACATACCCTTGCGTCTTCCTTAGGTTGATCGAGAAGAACCTTCAGGTTCTCATAGCCCTCCTGTTCGTGGTACCCAGCCTTCCTCCATTCTGCAATTGTTTCACCGTGGAAGATGAGAATGTGGAAGAAGGTATCGAGGAGGAGGATGTGGGCAGGTTGGATAGAAGCAGAGTCCAGAAGAACCGGCTGGCTGCCCTCATGCTCCAAGGAGTACGAGTCCAGCGTGGGCTGGATCATAATGAGGGAATCGCCGGCATCTTCGTGGTTGATAACGTGTCTGTAGAATGCCGTCTCATCGGGTGAGTTGTTAAACACTTGCAAGAACTGACTTCTGCGGAGATGGAACATAAATTGAGGGTATAGGGTGAAGTTCTTCTCCAACCGGAATGATGTCGGGTCGTCTTTCCGGTAGTCTGCGAAGCGGGAGCACAGTCTGATGAGCATACGGTCAACCCATCTGAGCACGTCGGGGCCATCGTCGACCTCTGCCTTGAAGACGGCAATACGGGCCATAAGCACGGCAGCAGCCTCTTGGTCGAAAGATTGTGCCAGTGTCGGGTCACCGGCAGGACCACTCAAAGTCCGTGCAACGGTCGTAACTCTAAGGTGATAGTTTCCAGCGGCATTTTGATAGTAGGTGAGGAACTGCATCATCCCCCGCTGAGGGCTCTGTTGCACAGCAGCAGGTCCACCTTGGTTCGCAATTTCGAAATAGATACCGTAACTGGAAGCCGGGTCGATTCCACACATCTTCCACGCGCATGTGTTACCAATTCCGCATTCTGTCTCGCCCACGGAACTCGACTTCTTGTTCAAAGAAACAGCATGACCAATGAGACCGGTAACCTTGAGTTCCTTGGTGGTGACCACTTCGAGGGCGGCGTTGAATCCCATCAATAAGTTCTCGTTGGCATCCTTGTCAAACACCCGGACAAATGATTGCCTGAACTGTGATGATGTGAAGCTGTCCGTGAGGAGCATGTGACCACCCGTGTAGTTAGAAAGGTTCTTCATTTCCAAAAGACCAACTTGGTCAAGACATCCGGCGAAAATGTCGACAACATGGCCGTTGTTCGCAGCGCGCTTTGCAAGGCTGTCGTAGAACTGTAACAATCAGTCAGTATGACATGATGATATCGTCTGAGGTCAAACCAAACCGTACCTTAACAGCCTTCTTATAGTACTTGATGTTATCCCGGTCAATGTCGTGGTGAGATCGAATGGGTTCCTTCAATTCAGGGCCAACAACGTTTCCGGGGCCTTCAGTCGCGGCACCACTAGTGAACAGCATAACACGACCACCGGTGTTCTGGAAGGACGTCTCGAGCAAGCTCACCGCAACGCTGAGAGCAACACCGGTACATCTAAGAGGACGCTTGTCGTTCGGAACGGGGAATGGGTCACGCTGAAGCTGCTCGAGGATGTTGGTGATTTGGAATTCGGCCTGTTGGATCGGAAGGAGGAATCGCGCCGCGGGGCCAAGAGGAGGACGGGCTGGTTGCACGGGCATGTTGGGGCGCACTCCAGGGGCAGCCAACCCGAGCATCTCCTGAACCTGCTTTGCCGCATAGTCTTTGCTTCCCCGGAACACGTAGGATTTAGCACATTCGGTGTAGCCGAGTTCGTGAATTTGCGCCTAACCCCGAGTCAACATATCACTCTCACAACAGGGGTGTCCAAGATAAGCCAATCCTACCATTGTACCATAGGTGATCAATCCAACCAGCGCATTTGCGGGCAGCAAGGACAAGCTCATAATTAGCGAGTCCTTCAGGGCCTTCAAGCTGTCATCCTCTTGGCAAGTATCAACGACGTATACAAAGATCGGGGGTGCAGGAGCCGGGCGCGCCAGTTGGTACTCGATCGTCGTGCTCGATGGGTGAAGCTCCGGGGGAATCGCTGTCTCCGTGATATCCTTATAATGGGGAGGAAGAGGGTTGCGACTAAGGCAGAACGGACAGATCCAAATGCGGGCTCGAACGTCGACATTGCTATTGATTGCCTCGGTCGTCAGTCAAAGGACAGGGAACCAGTCGCGGGGGACACAGCAGCACATACGCATAAGGGTTGAGAACAGCCCGACAGGGCGATTTACAGGTCACCGGTTCATATTGTAGCAATGGAGTGTCGGTCTTCTCCTTCAGAGGCGTATAGACGGCACCAATGGGGACAACTAATCGGGATGCTTCCTAAAGTAGGACTCAGTAAACAAGACCGCCAAACAGCCATTATACATCCAGGCACGAACCATGCGAGAGCTGGGGAAGGTATTCCAGCTCAGTCTAATGCCATCGCGCTCCTCAATATCGCTCCATTGGTCCTTCAACGCCTCAAACTCCATGCTGCCGGTTGATGGGCGTGTAACTGCGGTGATAAGAGGGGGGAACTGTTGTTCGAATGGGGTCGAGTTAAAGGAGAGATTTCGTTCACTCCGTGCAATTTATTATTCAAAAGTCTGTCAATTTAGCATAATCCTGTGTCAATACAGGCAACGCCAGCAGCTATAGTCCAGAGACTGAGCGTAGAATCCAGGGTGTACTCTATGTTGTGGGTGAACCTCCGCCGTGGCATAAGGCCAGGTTGCAGCGTCTTTGGTTGCTATGCTCGGCCGCACCACTAGCGCCGCGGGCATTTAAATTTCGGCATTTCTTCCGCCAATTTTCTTCTTTCTTCATATTCTTCACAAAATATATCAACGCCGACACACCTTACATATAACGCTTCAGTCAAGTACCCCATGGTGAAGTTGTTTGTCTGTCGGACGAAGAGAGACTCACCCGACGCTGGGCACCTGGGTTGGAAAGGTCGTTTTGATCCTTGAGGATGATCCGGGAATCAGCTGTGGTTACAAGTCCACGACTTCTTAATTTTTTTTATTCTTAATACTAGATATACCAATTGGAAAAACCATTGTGCAGCCTATATTCTTTCATATTATACGTAATTGAGCTATACAAGAACCGACAATCGCTTAAACACCACGACGCCGAACCAAACGCCTGCCACCTGGGGTGGATGGACACCAGAAAACAACGTAGCCTCGTGGAATCGTACCTGCGCGGCTTCTAAGCATTCTGAGGCGGAGGATTTCTTCCCAATTGCTTCAAGAGGTAGCTGCGCTTGAAATAGGTGTTGGGATGGACGATTGTGTCGAGATCCGTCTGGTTCCATGTCCCGTCATCCTTGACTTTCTTGATTTCCGATTTGTGCGCCCACTCGAAGACTCTGTTGCAAGCGATATGGTAGCGTGTTTTGCCAACGTCTTCTCGCACTCCTCGTAACACTTCCTTGTCGTTAACACCCGTGGCTTGAAGAAGGTTGGTGAGGTTGTCGACCGAGAAGTGACGGTATGGACAACCGTGCGTCTGGCCAGCGCCAGGGTTGGTGTCGCCGAGGATCTTCTGGCACGAGTAGGGAGGGTATCCGCGGCCTCTGCGGTTGACATCACCACCAACATCACCATAGGCGTGCCGGACGTTGTACTTGTATCGGGAGTTGAACTCGTCGTCTGTGAAGCCCTTGAAAGACTGGCGCCAGAAAAGAATACATTCCTCGAGCGACAGCCCAATACCCTTGAGAAACAGGGTATACTGAAGTCGGCCAAAATGCTTCAAATGGTTGTTCTTGCGCAATGACATGTGTAGGTTGCGCATACAAAGAGGGAAGTGTTGAGAGAGGTGGTCAATGCTGCCAGCAGTAATTGGAGCACCATCGACAAATCCTTCGCTTTCCGAATACACTGACTCGGCACTTCCAAAGTTCTTCGAAAGGTGGTTTAGGATCGGCGTCAAACGGTCGTCTTCGTCCAAGCGCGGTAGGGCTCGACTCGTGAGCTGGGAGAAGTTAGCATTGCGTTTAGACGCAGTATTGAGTAGCACATACTTCAAGCGCACGTTCCAATCTAGCTGTGAACTCCGCAATGACCATACTCAACTGCTCCCTTCCAGGAACGTATGCCTTTCCCTTGTAAAGGAAGACGCTCCGCTTCTCAACCAATTCAGGAACTCTTTCCCAATCCACCTTATACCAAGTTTCCTCATCAGCCCGGCGCAAACCCGGTGTTGCCTGTACCAACTTATCAGACATGGCGCGTCTTTCCTCGTCACTGACAGATTCCCAATCAAGGCTCAAACTCTCGATAAAGGCACGTCTCTCCCTAGAATCATCGTGTTGGAAGCGGAACCGAAACAGCATGGTCTCAGCCCGTGCGAATCGCCGACGGAGGTCCTCTGTACTCGAGAAGGCCAAACGGAGGATGAAATGCGAGTAGTGGTCTTTCTGGCGTTCCTTCTTCAATCGCGCGTCTGCGGGACCGATCGACGAGGACGTGTTCGAGGAAAGATGTAGGAACTTTTGAAGGAGAGGCTTGATGTGTTCTTCGGTCTCAGCGGGCGTCTTGTTTCGATAAGAGCAGGCCTCGATTTCGGCCAGGACTGTTCACCATCGGTCAATCACCAATCCAAATTAGAACCAGGTTCCAGCATGCTCACTCTTTAATCTGTCGATAGCCCATTGTTCAAATTCCTCCAGCGTAATCTCTGCGGTTGGCGGGACGCCATAGAAATTTAATCGAAACGGGTAGTCCTGCTGCTTGAATATCGGCGTTGCGAACTGCTTCTTCTTGTGATCAAGCGTCGTCCTCCGTTTAGGATCGATCCTATGGAAGTCCTGCCGAATCATCTTGACTGCCGTCCGTATAGTGCACGCCCCAAAATCAACCTGTTGTTCTGTTTTGTCAATTTTCCAGATCTCGAGTTAGAGCGCATCGTCTCCACGCCGACGCGAGACGCGCGCAGACACGCGCCCGTGATATAATTCACGTGACTTCACGGAGTTAAGTCTCGCTAACCGAGGGACCACGGCGGGTTACGGTAATTACGATGCGGAGAATCTAGATACATGGCCATACGGGCCTTAATACGACTGTGCAAGCACACCATTTGGACTGTTGAATGTCATTGCAATTGGTGAATTCAAGTAACACTGTAGAACTATCCGGGGACCCTACTATCTACTTAAATACTGCCATTGGCACCGGGCTCTGCATGTGGTCTCGGTCAATGCCTCTCCATCTCACCGGCTTCCGAACTCAGAATATCTCCAACCCCACAGAATCGCGTGCTTCCCCAATCCTTAACTTGTTGAACTGCGATAAACGTTTATTAGCATAGACCATTGATCGCCTTGCTTGCGTCCCCCAATAGATTGTTCTTATTTTGAATCACGAGGCCAAGATGGGGATCCAATAATTCCAGACATATTTTATCTCCCCCGCCTTCACACACATTGCACCGCCGATAACCACTGCCATTCGACCTTTACGCTCCAGAATAGAACACTAGATTTTATCGCAAACGATACCCTGCTCGAGAATTTATATACTGAACGAAATGACATCCGCGACAAAGCAGCTCACCAAGGCTGCCCGCATCATCCTCGTCGGCGCCCCCGGCGTGGGGAAAGGAACACAAACCGAAAGACTCCTTACACGATTCCCACAACTAGCATCGATAAGCTCAGGCGACATCTTACGGGACAATGTGCGCAGGAAAACACCATTGGGTATGCATACCTCACTATACCTATACTACTATCAGTCAATGTCAACCAGACTAACAATGCACAGGCCTCAAAGCAGAGGCCGTCATGCAATCCGGCAACCTCGTCCCCGACTCAATGATGCTCGACTTGATCTCCTCCGAATTCAAATCCAAGGGCTGGTTCCCAAAAAACACACCCTCGTCGCAACAAACAACCCCCATCTCCCCCAATGCCTCCTTCATCCTCGACGGCTTCCCGCGAACCGTCGCGCAGGCCGGTAGTCTGGACAAGATCGTCCCCGTGAACTTCGTCGTGCACCTCCTCACACCGCCGTCTGTGATTCTCTCTCGAATAGGTTCGCGCTGGGTCCACGAGTCCTCGGGGAGGGTATATAATACTAGTTTCAACGCTCCCAAGGTGCCCGGGAAGGATGATGTGACGGGGGAGCCGTTGACGCAGAGACAGGATGATTCGATCGATACGTGGAAGCAGCGGTTGCATAAGTTTGAGGAGACTAGTAAGGGCTTGCTGGAGCATTATGACCGGCAGGGGTGTTTATGGCGGGTTGAGGGGGATGGCAGTGATGAGATTTCGCCGAAGCTTTTTGCGGAGATTGAACGGAAGTTCTGCTAGTCTAGAGGGTGCTTGGTGACTTGCGCTTTCTTGAGCTTGTTTTATTTCTTCTGTTGGCATTATGCATCGTCCTTTAACAAGGCGCTATTGGGGCAATGGGGTTACGTTCGTTGATATGGGACGGCTATCATGGATTTGGGTGGAAAACTCTTTCGGGAGAGGTTTATACTCTGCGTATATTACAGATGACATGCTACTATACGATAAACGCCTCTCATAACACATTAGTACCATTCTATGACTTTTATCACAAGTAAGGTCATCACTCATATCATCATCGCAATAGCTGTACAATACTAGGACAATCATAAGCAACCAAACCGACCCATTCACCCCTTCTTCTCTTCTGTTGTCTTCCCTTTCCCGTTCCCCTTCCCATTCTCCTTCTCATGCGTCGTCTCCGCAGCCCCCATCCTCGTCTTAAAATCCCTCGGGCTCTCCCAATCCTTCCCATCCTCGCTGAAATCCACCCACAATCCCTTCTTCCTCCATTTCGCCCACCACTCTGCTTTCCGGTACTTATTCTCCATAGCCTCGCCCCCAAACTCTGCCCCGAATTTCGCCTCGTAGACTGTCGCTAGTCCGCGCTTCAGCATTTCGTACGAGACGTCCCGCTTGCGGAACGGGGGGAAGTCTAGCGCGCGGCGGACGTAAACACTCGCGACGACGCGCTGGTATTGGTCTTGGCGGTGAACGTAGGCGTGGACTTTACGGTGGAGGAGATAGGATGTTAACCAGGTGTGTGCATTGCGAGCAAATGGCTGTTCAGGGCGGCCGAAGTGGGCGAGTTCGGGGGCGTCGATGCCAGCTAGACGGACGTGTACCTACACCAGTCAGTAACAAATTCCAACCCAATTCTTAGAATAGGGTACAGAAAGGAAAATACGCACCGTCTTATCCCTCAACTCCCTCTTCAGCGTCGGAACCTTCTTCCACGGCAACCACCCCCACCCCGTCAACTTCCCCCCAGGCGTATGATACAGCCTGAAATTATCCCCATCGCCCACACTAGTCACCTGCCCATAAATACTCCTTCTCCGAAAGAACCATGGCGCGATACTCGTAGCGTCGGGGAAGCGGCGAAAGTAGCGACGGTGGATGCGCACGATGGCCAGGATCGAGCCTGTTAGGATGAGCGTTGGGACGAGGGTTCTGGTCTCTGTGAATGCGGCCCAGTCGGTCGCGTTGAGGGAGGTATCCCAGTTTCGGGGTGAGGGGGAGGATGGTGAGGAGGACCAGGGCGTGGGGAAGTGGTGTTTATCGTTGTCCGAGTTCGGATGCGATTTGTCCTGCGAGTCGGAGGACCATGGCCATCGCATTATGGTTCTTGTCCTCGGTTGGTTCGAGGGTTGTGAAGGTATCCGATATATGGGATATCGGACTGTGTTGCAATTGAAAGCTGTGTTGTTGAGGATGTGGTAGGGGAAATGGACTTATCGTGTTGCCTGTGGGGAAAATATATAAAAGCTAGAGGATCGCGCTGCAGATCTTGGCAGTATGTACCACCACAGATACACGGAGTAGATGTAACACGGCGAAGGATAGAACAATAGGATAATGGAAAAAGAAATGAAAGATACACAAAACAATGGTAGCGTACATGAACTCAGGTGGTATCCATGAGCATCTGTTGTCGAACGAGAAATGTCAATACCAGCCTTACGACAAGGGCTAGTCCTCAGGACAACGGGCATAAATACGGCATAATCAAACATAATAACAATTTTTAGCAATATATACAGGTGCCATCGGGTTTGAAATTCATTTAATTCCCAGGTGAAGTATTTGATGCGATTATATACCAGTGCCATGCATCCTCACTTGCCTTGCAAAATCCTGGAGAAAATAGCAGTACTCTATCAGCCAAAGCCGCCTCTGACAACGAAAAGTAATAAGAAAACAAAACCGAAAGAGATCATGTAACCCTTGCGCCGCAGACGAGCATAAAACAAAATAAGCCAACATTAATCAAGTATATCCAAACAGAATAAAAGACAGATTACCTCTATTTGAGCGTCGCCGGAAGGCTTGTCTTGGCCGTAGATGCGGCGCTGCCAATGGTTTTCTGCAGCTTCTTCTCCTTGAGATTGCGCAAGTAGGCAAAGAACATGATGAAGAAGAATTCCATTCTATGTGCTGTTAGCAAAATGTCGTAGAAAATGTACCTCGAGTGAGTGAAACATACCTCTCCTTGGTCATCATCAAAAGACCCTGGACCAAGAGACCCTTGGTGATCTGGGGCCCAATACCCTTGAAGAGTCCAATTGGCCCTTCTTTGTCGAGAATATAGCGTATGACTTCACTGAAGCTCTTGAATGGCTTGCCCTCCCGGCCCGGAGGAGGACGGGACTGAAGGCCAACCTTGGCAACAATCAAAGGCTGTGTTACAATAGTTGCCAGCGACTTGGACAGTGCACCGAGAACTAGATCGACCCTGTTAGACTATGCATGTGCACTTGTGAATGAATGTTCAACTTACGGAAAGCCTCCCAGGGCTTGAGGTTGTTCTTTCCAGCGAAAAGAACGTCCTTCAGGCGCTGATAAGCACCATACGTGATCGCCGGGTTGACAACCAGGATCAAACTGGCCTTGAGTCCTCTCCAAAGACCAGACACACCATCCTCACTGTCCACGACTTCCTTGCCAGTCTCCCAGAAACCTCTCTTGTCCTCCTTCGGCTGGGTCTGTTGTCTTGTGGTGATAACGGCGACAGGGATGGTGAAAATCTGGGCAACAGCACCCGCCACAGCACCCAGACTGAGCTCAGCAGCGGTTCCCGGGGGCTTGGGCACTTTATCCGAGGCCATGTAGATGGTTCTCACGATGGTATACCAGTAAAAGTAGGCGAAGTTGGTCGATGCAACACCCAGAAGCGATCCAGCAATTCCCGAGTAGAGACCACTGAGACCTTCGCTATCCACGATCTTATTGATGGCGTCCATGGTCGACTTATATTGAACCGTACCGTCTTCGCTCTCGTTCTTGACTTGGACTTGGAGTTTTGTCTTAACACTGCCGTCGCAGAAAACCATAAGTTAGCATACTTTTCCATTGAATCAAAATCCAGGCGATGGTTTCGTCACGAACAGGTCAAGCGGATAGACCACAGCATTGGCAAGTACAGCACCCGTTGCACCCGCCACAGCGCTCTGCCAGGGGGACAGGCGCATGGGTTTCGATTGACCGGTCATTGTTGGATCGGAGTATATAGAAGCACAGGATAGAGCGTATAGAGAGTAGAGAAGCGAACACCGGGGTATAGAAAATGCAATTCGGTCTAGCCAGAGCCCTAGGAGAAGAGGTCAAGGATAGGCCGAGTGGGGTCCTGTAGAGACTAGTCGCAATCCCAACAAAAAAGGGTCGACAAAGGATACACTTGAATGTAATAAAATGTCAATGAGAGAGGAAGACGCAGCAGTACACCCTACTGCGATCGTAAGGGGAGAAAAGAAAGGGAGAAGAATCATAGATTGTAGGTTCTTTACTTAGCACCTCGGCGCGGATATTCTGGAGCGCATGACGAAACGAGCCGAGGTCCAACTGGAGAAGTCCAGGCGATACCGCACTGTTACAGTATCGTCCATTACCGAATTACCATACGCCAGTCCCGTGTTTCCTCTCCGATTCGAGTAAGTCGTTTGCAATTCACCAGCTGTCAGTGAATATACCTGCCTCAGGTACACATGTCGCCTGTCACTGTTTGTATACCAGACAAAAAAAGAGCTGGCTTCGGACTAACTGCCTGATAGCAATTTCGGAGCGTCTCCAACCGATGTCCGAGCAACAACCATGTCATTTGCTGCTTTAGTCGACCGTTAGAAAATCCGATCAGCGTGGGGGTAAACACCGAGATAGTGAGACCGAGAGAGGAAACTCCCTAGAGTGCTCGAATATAGTGACGATCATCTTCGTTTCCTGACTACATATGTCAATCAATGCCACAATGTCGAGACCTAACGATCCAACGCAAAAGTCTCTGGTGGCTCAAGCTTTGGTATCTCACCTGTTCCTTTTCTTTAACTAGCTAAATCCGAGACCCATCTTGCTAGTGGAATCCCTGACTAACCGGTAATTCTAGAAAGCTGAGCGGGATGTGTCCAATGCCAGCTCGCAGAAGCAAGCTCTAGAGGCGGCCATTGAAGCCGCTGAGCAGTACATGAAGGCACTGAAACTGGCCGCGTCTCCCAAAGATAAACAGGCATTGGATGCAAAGTGCAAGGAATGGCTTACCAGGGCCGAGAGGATTAAAGGGGTTCGAGACTGGCAATCGGCAACTCCGGCGGATCAGAATGGCACACCTAGACTGCAGCCACCAGTGTCTACACGGAAGCTTACTACTCGTGAGGAAATCATTCTTCTCGAGGGAGCGAAACTGAACGGGTTCATTTTTCCGCCATGGGCCAGTGCCCCGAAGCCAGAGGAGTTCCAGCAAGATGGAGGAATGCTGTTTCTGTATGCAAGTTAATATCGCTGTCGAGAGTGGGCTGTCTTCTAACTGACGTCTAGGGACGAACCCGATCTTCATTTGTCCAGCTCACAAAGGGATATTTTTGCAGGTTGGAAGCGACCTCAGGAATTACTGGCTATGAACTTTAGCAATAAAGACCAACCGTTAACTCCAACCATGTTTGTTTCAACAAAGACAGACCTCGTGCAGGATGTCTTAACAGACTGCTCGGTGGTTGCTAGTCTTTGCGCTACCACCTCGAGGTTGGAGCGTGGCCTGGATAAGGTATAATTCCCTCGTCTATTCAATTTGATTATATTTACTAAAAGAGACAGCGGTTCTCTCCAGTATCCTATCCTTTCAATGAAGACGGAAATTCTGAGGAGACGCTTTCTGGGAAATACATCTTTTGCTTTTACTTTAACGGATGCTTTCGAAAGGTGGCCATAGACGATCGTTTGCCGGCATCTAAGACTTCAAGGTCACTTCATGTGGTTGATCGAAATAACTCAAACTTCTTGTGGCCAGCTCTCGTGGAAAAGGCATATCTGAAGCTTCGCGGCGGTTACGACTTTCCCGGAAGCAATTCCGGTACCGACCTCTGGGTATTGACGGGATGGATTCCCGAGCAGGTTTTCCTGCATCAAGAGGATGTGACGGGCGAGCAACTCTGGAAGCGATTGTTCAAAGCTTTTCACTATGGTGATGTCCTCCTGACCATCGGAACCGGCGAATTGACCGAAAGAGAGCAGACCGAACTGGGCCTTGTTAGTGGACATGATTATGCCATTCTAGACATGAGAGAGTCGAGAGGACGGCGTCAGACGCTTGTGAAAAACCCATGGGCTGGACCAACCACCGCGCGTGCACTCACTAGAGCACGCAAGCCATCAGATCCACGACACGATCCCCTTTCTCCGGGAACCTTTTGGATGGATCTTGACAGAGTCCTGCAACACTTTGAAAATTTGTACTTGAACTGGAATTCAGGGCTCTTCAATCATCGCGAGGACTTCCATTTCACTTGGGATCTTGCAAACGGGAAAGGGATCCCAGGTTGTTTCGTGAAGAACCCGCAGTTTGCAGTGTTTTCTGAGCTTGGAGGGACTGTCTGGTTGCTTCTAGGAAAACACTTCAAGACTAATACAGGCTCTGAGGCTCATGGAGAATTGGGTTTTATCAGCATTTATGTTTTCAATGCGAACGGGCAAAGGGTTTGTCTAAGCGATGGAGCGCTCCACCGTGGGCCATATGTCGATTCGCCCAATACCCTCATGAGACTTGAAATACCCCCTTATACGACTTATACGGCGGTGGTCGCTGAGCAAGGTCTACCTGCCCTGAGCCAAAACTTCACCTTGTCTGCGTTTTCTACCGCTCCCGTGAATGTTGCTCAATCGAAAGAAAGACACACGTGCATGCGGAAAGTCCACGGAGCATGGACGAGATCGACGGCAGGCGGCAATGCCGAATCCGCCAGATACCCGCTCAACCCGCAATATGCCTTGTACGTTCCGGAAATGACCGAGGTATCTATCCTCCTGGAATCCTCGGTGCCCGAACTAGCCACGCACGTCAAGCTGTTCTGGTCAAACGGAAAGCGCGTGTCGAATGCTAAAAGTCGAGATATCATTACAGACAGCGGTGATTATCGTAGAGGCTGTGCCCTCGCGGAAACAAGAGCTTTAGGCAAAGGACAGTACACTATCGTTTGCTCTACGTTTGCACCGGACCAGCTTGGCCGGTTTACGCTCTGGATCTCCTCTACTATCCCGTGCGAGGTGAGACCGCTTGCAGCAGAGAGGGCGGGTCAACGAGCAGTGCTCTCGGATGTTGGCGTCTTACCTCCAGGAAAAGATCGGATGTTGGCTTCGTTGCAAACTCCGCGGATGACCCGGGTCAAACTTATCGCAAGAAGCAGACAGTCCTTAATCGGGGATCGCGCAGTTGGCCCTTCGCCAGCGCTGATGACAGTTGAGCTTGGACAGGGACCGTACAAAGAAACGTTGGCTGTTTCGGAGGATGGATCGTACAGCGATTCTTTGGCTGGAATACGGATTGAAGACCTCGACTTGCAACCGGGGCTTGAACAGAAGGGAGGAGCCTGGGTTGTAATTGAACGCATTGGAGGACCAGGAGGACAGGTGGAGGACCATTTGGAGGTGGAAGCTTTGGCTGAGGAGAGAGTTGAGATTGGAGAATGGATAGTTGAGGATGCTTGATTTGATAGTACGATCTATGATTTGACGCTTTATTAGGAGCATTTGGGATACAACCGGTATTAGCATGATTTTTGTTTATGGAGCAATATCACGGGAGTTACAATATCTAGCTATTTGTATTGCTCTGCTGTGGTTCGCTTCCTGTGACAGGCTGCATGATGACACCGCGGCGATCCAAAGCTCGGCATCGATGATTCCGCCCGAGAGCTTCATCCCCCGCCATCGCTCTTCGCCAACCTGAACAATTGCAGATATCTTTTCTAAACACTTTATTATACAGCCGCCCCTATGAGTAATATCCCAGCCGCTTTGAGATCCGCAGACATCGGGCGCTTCGCCGCCAGAGCAGCCCAGGTCGAGCGGGTGAAGCCAGCCGTTGCTTATTGGTGTGAGTACCTCAACGCTCCAAACCTCGTCGGAGCTCACTAACGATAGTTGGGTGCAGGTAATTTCTGGATCGTGAATCAGATTATCGAAAAGGGCTTGCATACGGCAGACGACGAGACAAAGCTGTATACGACGAACCTCGTTGATAAGCTCGAACAAGTACGTTACGCACGCTCGATCGGTTGCTTGGTATCAGGGATACTGATTCGGTGGTGATAGGTTAAAAGCGAGAATGCAGATAATGATACTATAACGGATAATGTGGCTGCACATGCCTACGTGGAGCAGTTTGCACTGGAGGTCTTTAATCGTGCGGATACGACTATGAGCGCCAACAAGGTTACCAAGTACGCTTCTGCCTCTATACTCGTGAAGACCACTTACTGATTTGTGCGCAGACAAACAGCAGATACCTTCCAAGCCGCCGCTACATTCCTCGAACTGTGCCAGATCTGGAACGCCCCGGACGCTGAAACCGCCGCCAAGATTAAGTTCGCCAAATACCATGCAGTGAGAATAGTGAAAGCGATTAAGGCTGGCGAAGACCCGAATGCAACGAACCCGGTTAGACAACAAGAATGGGAGGATGTCGAGGAAGAGGGTCCGGCCGAGCAGGATGTGCAGGCGTTTGATGAATCCGTTGCGCAACGAGCAGCGCAGCCGTCTGTGGAGGATGTCCCTGGTGAATCGACATCCGCATCGCCAAATCTCCCTGCCGCACCGCAAAACCTGCCTACTTCTCCATCGGCTGAGGAACCGGGCTTGAACCTGCCATCTGCGCCAGAGACAATCGGATCGACACCAAATCTCCCGGATACACCGTCGAACCTGGGTGCGTCTCAACCGGCACCACCGCCGATCTCGCCCTCGAACCCGCCAGATGTTCCCCATGACCCCAGCTCTTTCTACAATAAGCCGCCTACAAATACTGCTACTCCCCCGCCCGCACAACTGTCCCCAGGGATCCCTGCAGTATCGCGTACAGCCCCGCAACCTGCACCTGCGCCTGCGGCAGCGGCAGCTCCCGCACCGGTTCCTGTACCTGCACCAGTGCCTGCTGCAACGCCTGCATCGAGACCGTCGTCGAACCTGCAAGATGCCGACGACCAGACCATTGCGCTAGCGCAGAAACATGCGCGGTGGGCTGTATCAGCGTTGACGTTTGACGATGTCAACACGGCGATTAAGGAGCTGAAGAGTTCATTGAAATGCCTTGGGGCAGAATAATTTATCGCTCGATATGTTGGCTACGTACGATTTTTTGAGATCTAGCGATGTTATATTGCTTTTAGATATTGCTCTCATACCCTCCTTGTCTTTCTATAGCTGTCTCAATTATGAATGATGATTATAATGGATTGCCTGTGTACTTTGATAGCTCTTCACTGCATTCACTTGGTGGTTTCATTATACCAGTGGCTCTTCACCAAACCCTTTATCTATATTCTACTTTCCGTGAATGAGCGAAGATGCTGCTACTTGCTGCAGTCAGCTCTCTCCCCCCCAGTCCCTCTCAGTCTTCTTGTTTTTGGCCTAACCATGCTATTTCTATAGTCTCTCTACTTATATCTCTTACTCCGATATCAACACAAACCCACCATGTCAAAAACCACACCCTCTTACCTCGACCCCCTCCCCCTCAGAATCCCAACTCCAGCCCCAACCATACCCGACCACCCTATGAAACGCTTCCTCGACGAAGGCAAGCTCAGAATCCACAAGCGAGACCGCGAATTCACCCTCTTCCTCGACCTAGACACCAAATACCACCACGAGTTCATCACGAACCTCAACAACCATGTCTACGACAGGGGCTATGCGTGGCCGGATATGCTGCAGCAGGAGAATGAGCTAAGGTCTTGCGCGAAGTCGTTTGTCAAGAGGTATGGGAGGTTGTATTGGGGGAGTGAGGAGAATCGGAGGAAGTATTTGATGACGGATTCTTTTGACAAGTCGCCCGAGGCTATGGCTGTTTATCCGGAGTTGAAGGAGGAGTATGTTGCTTTCTTTTGTTGGCTTGTCTGTGGTTTTCGGTGTAGGGTTGGTTGGCTCTGACTGGAATAGGATTACCAGAGTTATCATGATTCTCCTGGAGAAGAAAGCGCGCAATATCCGCAAGGGCGGCAGGAAATCTAAGAAGGTTAGTTCTCTCATCTGGTGAAGAAGCCCATGCTGACAGCAAAGAATTCCAACCGCGACAGCATCTTCCTCTCCTCGCCTCTACCCAAACCCGAACCCCAGTCGCCAAGTTTCACACTGTACGAGGGCAGCTCGCCCAAAACTCCCAGCATCCCTATCACCCGCGAGACGAGCAACAGACAGGCGAAGCGAAAGGCCTATGACATGTTCGAAACGCCGCCTCAGGTTCCGGTTAATAATGACGTGAAGGTATCGGGCTCGAATAAGAGTATCACACCATTCCGCGATATTGCTCTGCTCGATGAGGAACCTCTTCCTAAGAAACGACTCTTCGAGTCGCGCAGTGTATCGCGAACGCCTGTTCCGGTTGTTCATGCGATTGACGTGGACGATGACATGGACATGCTTGAGGAAAACGCTCTGAATACGCCTGACCGCAGCACCGTCCGGGAGGAACCACAGACCATCTCTGTAGCCAGTCCGGCAGGCAAAGAGAACGGCAACATCAATGGCAACATCCAGCCTCACCCCTCTGACAAAAATTACGCGTACAAATCCTCTTTCCCCAAGAAAACAACCTTCCTGGTCTCCTCCAACATCCAGCCCAGCATGGGCCCTGTCTGGATCCCCTTCCGCGACTTTACCTCAGCCTCGCCGTTCCTGTCCTACATGGCGGCTGAATGTCACCCAGAGAATTGGGGCCAAAGCCAAAGCCATAGCCAAATGCAGGGTCACAGCCAAAGCCAGGGCCAATCGCCAAGCAGGCAACTAAATAACGAGATTAGTCGCAATTGGGCTAGTCCCTCGTCATCGTCATCGCAGAATATCATCGCAGCGACTGTCAAGCTGGAATGGTCTAGTGTAGTGATCCGAGTGCGTCGCGGTAAAGACTAGGACTGGGTGATTGTCATGCGCGAGCTGCAGAAGGGGTGGGCGGTTGCCTCGCAGCAGCAAAAGCAATCTAACCCCGAGCCATGTACTCGGGATTTGAACAATGGGGACGAAGGGGAGAAAGAGGAAGGATTCAAGATCAGCGTTATGCTGCATATCGTGTGATAAAGAGCAGCGGTGACATATTTTTGGCTGTGTGCCCCGCGCACCTGCGCACTGGGACTTGGGGAGAGACGATGTGAATACGATGGAAGCTTGGTGCGTACTTGCAAGCGGCAGGATGACTAGGCTTTTGTATTCTTTTGATATGAACTTTGTACCTTTGGATAAAATACATAATATTATGCATTCGTACCTAAGCACTGCATATGGTCTTATAGTACTATGTACTCCGGAATCCTTATGCGGAGCTTCCATGAACCATGGGACGAACCATGGGACACAGGTAAATCCCAACCGGGAGAAATCCCCGAATCCTCGACGTCAGCATATTCAGATCGGGGGTTTTCGGCTGGGGGGGGGGGGGGGGGGGGGGGGGGGGGTTTTTAAAAAAATTTTGGATTTAGTAGGCCTTAGAGTGGACTGTATGTCAATGGTGGCATCGCACGGTCAATCAATGCCATGCCAGTACTAGCAGTGAATGTTGCGAGCGAGACCGAGTTCGGGCCGAAAAAAGAAAATATCGTTCAATAGTGTGGTATGCGTGTGTCACTTTCTGACTCTGTTCCAGTTCGTTCAATTAATATCTAACCCCAAAAGTACTCCAGAGGGGCGCGTCTTTGGTTCTTTTGGTAGGGGACAATTGAGGGTCCAAACTCAAACTCAATGAATGGACCCGAAGATCATCGTCTTCATAATCCCATAATCCCCGGGATGATCGCATGCCCCTGCAAACAGCACTCTCGGGGTACGTAGTACTATGTACGCAGGACGGAGGACTCCGGAAAGGACATGTTCGGCTAGGCTGCGCGCGGAATACATTAAGTGATCGTTGACAGAGATACTACTCTGTACTCGGGGCTCGGCTTCTGTCGGTGAGCAAATCACTCAGCATTCCCTTATCACCGAAATACCATCACCAGAGTTTGCCCGCCCCTCCTCACTTTCCCCTTCTGCCCACTTGGACCGGGAACTATGGCATCCCACAATGCACCGGCGTCCTTAAGAAACGGAGCCCGTCCCACAACGGGAGGCAAAGGAGGGAGGTGCTTTGCAGGACGAGCGCGAGCTGCCGATGGAACCCCATAAGTGTAACTAGTAGCTAGTTATTGAGGATTCCAATTATTCAGGTTTTTTTGTTCTGCCGGTCATATTATTCGAACGGGAGCGCGCGAAATTGCAAACGGGATTTTCCACCGGCGAAATTTCTAGACGCGACGCTAAGCTGAGATCGTTTGGATTCTGAGCGGATCCTTCTTTCGTATTTTCTTTTTCTCTCTTCTGCCGCGGTTGTGTGTGTGTTAGCCCCTTTCCTCCTAGTATGTACTTTCACTTGCTTGTCTCTGATTATCAAGTCCTTTGTCCTGACATTTCCCGCGTGTCTGTGTTTGCTTTTCCGTTCAACCGTCATGATTTTTCGGGGGATTGGCAGGGCCAAAGGTACAAGACCATCTGTCCGGAGTACTTTTTTTTTTTTTTTTTTCAAGATCAACAGGGTAGGATAAGTGCTCTGTCCTCCGTACTCTCAGCGCTCGGAGCAATGGGATACCGTGAGGACTAGTGAGAAATGTGCACAGATTATCAATTGCCGAAAGTGGAAGTACTCTGTAGTAATTGGTCGTCAGTCAACGGCTGTTCTCGTAGTTTTCTCGGACAATGGTAGTAGCCATGTTAAGGTTAACTCATCGCGATTCTTTGTTTGACTGCATCCGCCGGGCTGGGTCGATCTGTACGGAGTATCGTGTGCAGTCTTCACGGCTACATAGTAAAGAAGAAGGTGTTTGTATGCTGTATGCTGTATGCTGTAGATATAGAGTAATACTCAGTAAATAGAGAGAGTGACAGTATGTGTAACTTCCTGTTTCAACGGCGGGGGGACCGGGCTTTTGACACGCACCGTCCATCAAAGCGTCGTTTAGTCCAGCATAACTTGCCTCTATTCCTCTTTCTCTCCTCCCTCTTATTTCTTTTCTCTCTTATTCCAAATTTCTTCCCCTCTCTACGCAATCCCACCATCTCCCCCCGCGAGCATTGTCGCAACTGATACCATCTTCATCGCATATTCTCTATACTCTTCTATTTCCCCTATTCTCTCTCCCCTCCGCCTTTTTGTTCTCTTCGTCGCTTTTCAAATCTCCCCGCATTCTTAACCAGCCGGATCCTAAGCGCGGGGCGCAAGACGACTTGGAAATCACCAGCAAGTTTACTACCGGTTGCGTGTGCGATTCAATTCGACCAGTTTATTATACTGTTCGCCGTCTACATTCGATAATTCACTATGGCTGAAGGAAAGAAACCAGCAGTCTTGATTGTCGGAGGATTGGGTACGGACTCTCTTCTTCCACTCTCAATTTTTTAGTGTGATGTGTTGGCTAACATTGACGTTCTCCCCGCAGGGTTCATTGGCCGTCACCTCGCCCTGTACCTCCACGAAAACAACCTCGCATCGGAAGTCCGTCTCGTTGATAAGGTGCTACCTCAGCTGGCTTGGTTGGCGCCTGAATTCCAAGAGGCCTGTTCCAAGGACAAGTTCGTCCAGGCCGATGCCAGTCGGGAACGTGAGTGGTACATCCTCCCCGATTTGTCGAGACGAATCAATCAAGGCTGATAAGGGCATCCATACGTCCAGAGCACTTCCCACGGATATTCGATCGAGCCAATGGCGAACAGTTCGACTACGTGCTCAACTGTGGCGGCGAAACCAGACACTCCCAGCCCGATGACGTCTACGAGGTCCGCAGCTATGCCCTGGCCATGGCACTAGGCAAGGAAGTCGCCCGTCGCGGGATTCAATCTTTCGTCGAGTGCTCGACCGCCCATGTTTACAAGGGTGGAGCGACCCCGCGGAAAGAGGACGACAAGCTTCAGCCCTGGCACCGCTTGGCCAAGTGGAAGATGAAGGCTAGTGAGGAATTGAAGAAGATCCCTGGTCTCAATTACTGTCTTGTGCGCCTGCCCCACGTTTATGGTGAATACGACCATGGTTACTTTGCCATGGGTGTTTGCCTTGCACGCGTGTACTTGGATTTGCAGCGGGACTTGGAACTGCTCCACACCAAGGACTTGAAGGTCAACACTCTCTACGTTCAGGATGCCGCGAGTGCCCTGTGGAAGGCCGCTGAGTGGAGAGCCAGCACAACAGACTCCCCCCAAATGGCCTTCAATGTGGTCGACCATGGCGACACCCGCCAGGGACATCTGGCAGAGGCTCTGGACACCGTGTTCGGACTCAAGTGCACTTTCTTTGGCTCCGTAGCGTCCCAATTCGCCAAGTTGAATCTGGACGAAGTTGTCGATGACATGAACGAAGTCAGCTTGCAGGTCTGGGCTGAACTACTCGAAAAGAAGGGTATCGAGCGCCCAGGCCCAATCAGCCCCTTCCTCGAACGCGATGTGCTCAAGGACCAAGACATGTCCATTGACGGCACACTCTTCGAGACCACCACCGGCTGGAAGCCCAGCCGGGAACGCTTCGACGCCGACGGTGTCCGCGCAATGGTCGAGTCTTACAAGCGCATGGGCTGGTGGCCATAAGGCCGGACAAAAAAGCATAAACTTCTTCAATCCTACAAAAAAGCAAAAAAAAAACAACAAAAAAAACAAAAAAAAAAAAAAAAAAACAAAAAAGAGATACTCTGGTCACGACAGCTTCACGAACCCCCATTCTTCATCCACATTTTCTTCAGTTTTACATGATCACGACATATACCCCACCGGAGTCGACCGATATGCATTCCTTTCTCCCCTTCGCGATGAACATCTCCTTTTTGTCCAGCATGAGCAGGGTGGTGGGGTATATCCATTATTGCATTTCTTCATCATCTCATCATTTCATCTCATTCATCCTCGGGAGTCCGCCGAAAGTTTGTGCTTATACCACGATGGACAAGCATCTAATTCATATGTAATTAACGTTCCGGCTTTTACTTCTCGGGGTTTGTCTTAGCATATTGACTTGTCTTATTATATCCCTGTGTTGTGTTATTTGTTCGTTCTTCTATTTCGGTGTCTTATATTATTTCAGCCATGATTTGCATGCTTGCTCATCTTAACTTTCAGCTTTTTAGACTTGAATATAAACTGGCTTTTTGTTCAAAGATTCTCTTCTCGCAAGTATGGATGTCTATGGAATGCGTTTCGAGAACATGATGTTGTGCAGACTCTTGACAGCGTTGAAATATCTTAATTTTTACTAGTTTTTAACTTTTTTTTTTTTTTTTTTTTTCTTATTTTTATCTTGTCTGCCAATGGATCTTAATCCAATAAATCCCTAAAGAAGCAAAACGATACATACAAAGCGAGAAAAGAAAACCAACCAACCACCAACCACCAATTCTAAACAAGAATCGAATCGATAAAGAAAATATGCTATGCTATATATGGGTCATTCATCCATCTGTCCCACTCACCTTAACAGGCGAGCGAGCGGAAAAGGGGAAAGCAAAAAAGGCGAAAAAAAGCGAAAAAAAGCGAAAAAAAAAAAAAAAAAAAAACAAGCGAAGAAAATCAGTTGTATATGGTGTACATGTTGGGGCGTCAAGGTCTTGAGACCAATTTCTGTCTAGGATGAGGCGTTTAGAACTCCCAGTCGCCGTCGACAGACTTAATGGCCCATTCGAATTTCTCGCGCAGAGACTTGGAGAAGAACTTCTCGATGGGGACGTTGAATTTCTTGGTGAAGACTGCGGTGAGACGGGGGTCGATGTAGTTCTGTATATGTTAGACATTTGTTCCACTTGCGAAGAGTAGGAAGAAACTTACGATCTTGGAAGTTCCAAGCGCAACCTCCTTGTTATCTTCCTTGTCCTGAGCCTGAACGGACATCGTCTCAACACGCTGGTCGATCTTGGTGATGGAAGTCTCGAACTTGTCGACAGTAGGACCCTTGCCTTCCGCCTCGACCTTCCCAGTCTTGTTCTCTTTGGCGAATTTCTTCTCCATTTCCTTGGCGGCCTTGAGTCGTTCCTCAAGCTCACTGGCCTTCATTTCTTTTTCGCCCTCGGAAGCGAGCTTCTCGTTGTCTTTCTCGAACTTCTTTTGGATCTTCTGCCGTTGTTCCTCAACCAGGAAGGCTTGATGTTCTTTGATCCATTCCTGGTCGATGTCTTCGTCAATCTCGAAGAAGGCTGCCCCCTTCTTCTTCTTGAGACTCGAGTCCAAGTCAAGCATCATTTGCTTAAGTCGCCATTTCTGGTAGCGCATGCCCTTGATCTACAAAGAGAAAATACCGGTTAGCACGTGGTAGTGAACAATCCCAGGAGGAAAATCTACTCTTTCACTCATCTTTTCCATCTGCCCGGCGTGCGACGCAGCAACCGTCCGTTTGTGGTTACACAGAATGGCAACCTTGCGGTTTGCATCGTTGTACGCTTTGACCTTTTCAATAACAGTACCCTCGGCCTTCATGTCCCTAAGCAGGGTCGCCATGGTGTGCGACGCGTTGTAAGTACGGAACACCTTGGCAGTCAAGCCAGGCATATAGTTCGAAAGATGCTTGTTGAGAGCGGACGTCTATCAAGAAGTTAGTGACTGACATCATGAATTGTGAAAGACGCAAACATACCGTTAGTCTATCGAAGATCTCATCGCCATTCTTCTTCGGCGCCTTCTTGAAGATCTTTAGGTTCTTGAAGACCTGATTGTCGACCTCGACTTCATCGTAGAACCGGATACTGTCTTTACCCAAGAAGTCGAAGATGACCTTATTTGGCGGTTTGAGGGCCACGTTCTCATATTTCAAAGAGCAGCAACCAACTGTCTCAGCCTCGTCTTCACCCTTCTCGTTACCAGCACGAAGCGCAAATTGGTCAATAAGATAGACCGCTGTAGCCTTCTGGCGCTCAACCATCAATTCGTTCTTGAGATTCTTCTGGTAATCCTTGCGGATCTTATCGATATAGTGTTTGAGCTCGCGGGCTTTCTCGAACTTCCGGAAATCGCTTTGGCCCTTGACGTCGGAATTGGCTGCAAGCATTACGTATTTGTAGTTGCCGTTGATGTTTTCCTGCCACATTGCGAGCCATGTTCCCTCTTGATCATGCTTCACCTCCTTCCAGCGATGACCCTCAGGTGGCACCGGAACCGGAGCGTGCTTGCCAATGTTGATCGTGATTTGTTCCGGTTGAACTCTGGTCTTCACGCGTCCAGTCTTGGGGTGCTCACCACGACCGCGGAAAAGACTTGGTGGTTCAACACGGAAGTTGCCCACTTTCTGCTTGCGGCCGTCCCATACGCAGTACTGGTAGGGGGCTTCTTCAACGTCCTTCTCGGCTTTGAGTCGTTTCTTCTCTGCTGGAGGAAGGTGTCTCTTCTCGTTGCGCTGCCCTTCATAGTATGCGAAGATGGGCTGGAAATCACATTTAGAGAAATCTTTGATGTCGACCTTGTTGCCCTTGGAATCTTTTGCACCACCGGTCTTCTTGAGAATATCCTTGAAGTCCATGAAGAAGTTCTTGCAGAAGGTCGGGTTTTCCACGTGTTGAGTAGAGTTCAGCATGGTGCCATAGAATCCGGCCACCTCCTCCGCTTCGGGTGCAAGAGTGACGGGAACACCGTCATACTTCAATTTGACATTCTGAGGCAACGGCTCGTAATCTGGAGGGAAAACAAGACCGTTGTGCTCAAGGGTGTTCCATTTGACCGTGCCATCACCCTTGGTAGGATCTTCCCACCATCTATACTCTTCTTCCTCGCCCTCGTCGGGTTCGGCACTTTCTTCCTTAACCGGGGTAGCCTTTCCTTTCTTGGCCGGAGGCTTGGGCTCCGCCTTCACCTTCTTGGCGGCTGGTTTCTTAGCGGGTGCCTTTTCATCATCCGATTCCTTCTTGATGCCATTGGCTTGTTTCTTGCGGCCATTCGTTGTGCTAGCAGCGGACTTGGCGGTAGTTTTCGCGGGGCCCTGCTTGCGACTGGTCTCAGCCGCCTTTTCCCCTTTCTGTTGGATCTTCTTCTTTTCGGAAGTGAGTTTCTTGTTGATAGGGACATCGGAATCGGATTCTTCGCCTATGGCCGTCTCTGAGGCCTTGGGAAGCTTCCTGCCATTGGCTGCTAGAGGAACGTCATCGTCCGTCTCCGGATCCTCGTGCTTCACAGAGGTGCGGCGGCGCTTGCTCTATCGAACGGTCAGCCGTTGTAACCGAAAGCGACAGCAAGAGTGTCGCATAATATGGGGGAACGAAGGGAAGGCATCCGCAAGGGGAAGGGCGTGTCGTACCAATGGTTGATCCTCCTCTTCACTACTTTCCAGTTCCGCGTATGACTTCTTTTGATCAACACTTGCCCGGCTCTTCCTTTTGCCGGCCAGAGCGTCGGATCCGGCATCATCCATTTCAGTGTCCTCGCTCTTGACTGGGCCAAACCGAATTGAAATGCCAGGGTCAACATGACCATTCGTGTCAGTCGCGTCCTCCATCTTCACGTCATTGGGACCCTTGTCGGGAGCAGGACCTAGAATCCATCAAGCAAAATCGTCAACATTCGTCCAGGCGCAATGTGGTGGTAAATGGGGGATATCACGGGATTCGGTAGGTATAGAGGCGGAACAAGGCTGAAAGTAATGCGCAATGTCGCGAATAGGGCGACTAACGCGTAAGCGGGAATCAGGACAACTTACCGGGCTTGCCATTCGTCTTCATTAACGGAGTGTCATCTTCCGAGGCACTCATGATTGCAGGCCGGAAAGCAGGGAAACGTCGCGCTCGGGCGTAAGAATGCAGAGAGAATCGAGGTAGAGTAAAAGAAAGACTCGACAGTAATGGTCGACTGCCAAGTCTGAACACCCGAGCTGGCGCTTGAACGAACGATGAGGTCAAGGAGATATTGGCCAATGAAGAGACAAAAACTAGAAAATGGCGTTTAAAGAGAAGGAGAAGACATATAAGTAGGGGGAAAAGGTGGAATAAGAAGCCAACAGTGACGAGAATCGAGAGAGAATAAGCAGAGAGTACACAGAGAGAGAGAAGAAGAAGAAGAAATGTTGGGGGTGAGGAGAGAGAAGAAGGAATGGAATGGAAAACGAGGCCGGTCTTTTTGGGGGGCCTGAGGCGACTTTTGCGACTCCGGAGTTTCTCCGGCCCGAGCTGAAGCTGACACCTTACTGACTGCCTTGATGCCTGTAATACAAGGCAAGTATAGTTGCGTAACTGGTCTGTTCCGTCATACCCTCACAACCTACCCGAATAGGTTTAGTGCGGCAATGTGCCGGCAGTCGGATGAACAGAAACAGGAGTTGAACGACTTCTTCCGTTTCCTGCCCACTCGATTGACCTTTGCGGCCTTCCTGTCACCACGTCTTGCTGACCTTCTTTCTCTTGGACTTTTTCCCCAGTCCGACTCTTCTTTCCATTGACAATGTTCTCCCGCGCCGCTGTTCGCCCGGCCGTCAAGGCCGGCAGTGCCGTTCTCTCCCGGTAGGTCGTCGAACCTTTCTTCCGCTTGTCCACCACCACCCACCATCACCACCAACACCACCAATTACCCCCCCATGTCGTTCACACATACCACCCCAATCACTCTGCTGGAACCGAATTTATATGGGGAGGAACAATTGGGCTATTGCACTGGATAGGAATGGTCAAGAATAATATGGCTAATTATCTAGAAGCACTGCGCCCGCCAACGCCGCCAACTTCGCGACTCTGCGTGAAATTGAGGGCCGTCTCAAGTCGATTAAGAACATCGAGAAGATCACCAAAACCATGAAGATCGTTGCCTCGACTCGTCTTACTCGTGCCCAGAAGGCCATGGACGAATCGCGTGTCTATGGTAAAACCTCCAACACCGTCTTCGAGAACGCCGAAACCAAGCCCCTCGAGGACAAGAAGACTTTGATCGTCGTCGCCAGCTCCGACAAGGGTCTCTGTGGTGGTATCCACTCCGGTCTGGCCAAGGCTACCCGCCGTATCCTCCAGGAGAACCCTAACGCCGAGATCGTTGTGCTCGGAGAGAAGGCCAAGGCTCAGCTGGCCCGTACCAACTCCGAGGACGTCGTCCTGAGCTTCAGCAACGTCTGCAAGGACATCCCCACCTTCGCTGATGCCCAGGCCATCGCCGACCAGATCGCTCTGCTGCCTGGCGAGTACGCTAGCGTCAAGGTTCTGTTCAACTCCTTCGTCAACGCCCAGAGCTACGAGCCCCAGACCATTGATGCCTTCTCTGAGGAGGCTATCACTCAGTCCCGTGAGTTTCTACTTTCAGCTATTGCGGTTATTGCGATTCAATAGTTAACGATTAATTGTGCAGCCAATATCTCTGCTTTCGAGGTTAACGACGAGGTCTTGACCAACCTCCGTGAATACTCCCTTGCCAACAACCTGTTCTGGGCTATGGCTGAAGGCCACGCCTGCGAAATCTCGGTAAGTATCCCTATTTCCAAATGAACTGAGAGCATTGTTGCTAACTAGCTATAGGCTCGTCGTAACGCAATGGAGGCAAGTATCCCGGTGGCATGGGAATGCATTGACAGATGAACCAAACTAACCTAATTTCTCTTTTACAGAACGCCTCGAAGAACGCTGGTGAGATGATCAACAAGTAAGTTTTGGAGTCTTATGATTCAACTTTCGCGGGTTGCTAACCCTTTGCAGGTTCCAGATCTTGTACAACCGTCAGCGTCAAGCCGCCATTACCGGTGAACTGGTTGAAATTATTACCGGTGCCACCGCCAGTGCTGACATGTAGAAGCTGTCATGATGCTTCTGTGGAGAAAAGTCGCCATGTGTGTAGACTTATCCGTGAATACCTAGACTTGTTCCACCATGTAAAATCAGACGAATTTACAATTTCTTTTGTTCTCCTTGATGTGGATTTTGTGGGTATTCTGGTGGAAATGGCTCTATGCTGGTCCAGCCCTATGTTCCAATATATCCAGTTTCGATGTAAAAAGATAAAAATTCAATGAAGACCCATGTATATATGCTATTGAATGCCATTTAAATTCACAAGCCAGGCAGTCTTGCAGGGCATTCACTGTCCACTTGACTCCTCTTTATTCCCCCGACATGTTGTTTCTTTTTCCTGTTGTCATCTCTCCCTTGGACAGTCCCCATAACTTCTCTTTGCTGATTCATTTCTATCAATCTGTTTTCTTCAAGCCTCTGCTCTGGCATCGAATTCCCAGGGTACCATCTAACAGCGTGACAGCTCTGTTCGTCTCGTCAAGTAGTTGTTATTGAAAGAGACTACCACCCACACAGTGCGAAGTCACATCTTACCATCATCTTCCAACCTCCTTCCGTTCCAGCAACCAAGAGAGCCTTGACTCCCTGTCCTCTCCACGATGCCTTCAATCAAAATAACCAACCACTATGAGGTCCTGGAGGTCCCTTTCTACGCAACTCTCAAGGACATCAACCACGCCTACAAACGGCTCGCCTTGAAGCACCACCCAGACAAAGCGGTAGATGGCGACGTCGACAAGTTTCAACATGTACGACCTTCCCCCTCTTTCCATTCACCTCCAACCCTTCAAAATGACCAACAAAGTCAACCCTACTGACGAGAAACCAACCAGATCCAAGAAGCCGCCGAAACCCTTCGCGACCCCTACCGCCGCAAAAAGCACGACCACGACCTCCGCGCCCAACGCATCAGACAAGCCTACGCAGACAGCCCCAACGTCGCAGGCCGTGGCGGTCGAGGCTTCTACACAAAATGGATGCCGCGCACCTTCGGGACGCAAACTAAAGCGGACTTTCACTACATGTACAGTTATGCAAACAGTGTGCACATGGACCCTTACTCTAGGGAGTCGAAGGAGGAGAGGGATAGGATTGAAAGGGAGAAGATGATTGATGAGATGTTGAGGGCGCGGGGGAGGGTTTCTGCTGAAGATGTTCTGCGGCGGTTTGAGCATAAAGAGAGGGAGGCTGAGGAGCAGCGTCCGGAGAAGGAGAAGAGGCGTCAGGAGGCTTATAGGGCGAGGATTGAGCGTGAGAATGAGTCTGAGGATGGTGAGGGATTGGTTAACGAATGGGAGCATGGTGAGGGACAAGAAGATGAGCATAAGGAGGTGTTTGGAGAGAAGTATGAAAAGGAACAAGAAGGTGACTATGAAGAAGATCATGAAGTTGGACATGGAGAGGAGCTTGGACAGGATGAGAACGTGCAGCAGGCTGAACCTCGCCCTGCGTCACCTGTGGATGAAGCTGTTCCCAAAGATCATGGAAACGAAGAAGACAAACATTCTTCGAATTTCTCAGAAGTGTCGTCCGAGTATGGCACCGCGCAAGAGAGCGAATACCTGCACTCTGACGAAGATGAAGACGATTTCTCCTACCACAAACCCACCGTCGAGGAAGACGACATCACCATGTACTTCGACTGCGCCGAAGACAAATCCTCTCGTACCAACAACCCCGAAACCACCGATACCGACTCCTCCGAGGAAGAATCCGAAACAAGCGACGAGGAAGTTGAACATGAAGACAAACACGCCAACGACTACACCTACAACTACACCAACAAGTCCAACCTCCTGGCCCCCTTCATCCCGCACTTCATGGCAAAGCTCAACAACCCCAGCGGAAAATACACCGAAAATGACCTTCAGATCGAACTCCGCGGCATAATTATGGAAGCCTACTGTGGCTGGCTGGAGGATCAGTGTGCTACCTTTTCTGCTGCGAAGCCTCAGCCTCAGCCATCTCTTTTTACCTCGGATGCCACTGGCGCTTGTCTGCATCTCGGATATTGGAAGAAAGAGTTCGAGCGTCCCGAGTGTGAGGTGTGTCACCGATGGAAGCCAATTTTCACGCTTACTTGTCCTGGTTGTGGGATTAAAACGTGCGTGGGATGTAAGTTTGAGGGCTAGGGAGCTTACTTGGGTTTTCTATTTGTTTTATGCTGGAAATACTGAGGAAATTGTAGTCTTTCGGGTATGGATATGCCTTAGACTTTGTATGGTGGCTTCATCTGCCGTCTGGATTCCAGGATTCGGCTTCTTTTCTTGATATTCTAAGTCCAGGTCAAATAGTATTACGCAGGATAGTTTACAATAGGTCAGTATTCAGATATCTCAAAACTCAATTCCCTCACCAGGTCTAAATACTAGGGTATACTCTATTTATCAAATCTAAACACGACAAGCTCGCGATTCCTATTCTCCCCAACCAAATACCTCTCATTCCCACAAACACTACCCCTACCCGTAATCTCATATATATCCTCAGGTTTCAAAGTAACGCTTGAAGACGGAGTCCTCACGCTCAAAAACTCACTCAAAACAAAAGGCCACGCGAATGGGCTTAAATGCAGACAAAAGCCCACTTGAGCCTGTTCATCGATCGTCTCCGAAACAATCGTATACCAAGGCCCATCACAAGCAGCAAACTCAAGTGGTTTTGTTTGTAAGCCGTTACTTCCACGGTAAGGGGGGAATTTAACGTCTGTTATCGTTCGTCTTAGACAGGGTCCCTCGCCGGTTAAGGGGATATTGGTGATTTGTACTTCTGAGGTCCATTCCGCCGGGCCAACGAGTCTGTCCATTGGCCCTGTGCAGATGGTCTCGGTTATTTCGATTGCTTGCGCGTCGTCTGTGACTTCTAGCCGCTGGATAGCTGGAAGGCCGCGCTGTCGTACGGAGAAGAAGCCTAGTTCTCTGAATCCCAAGCGGGTGACTTGTTCCGGTCCTGTGTCTTGGCCGGGGACACGTAGGCAGCCGGTTGGGTCTAGAGATGGTCGGTATGAGGATCGTTGAGAGATATCCCAGACCATGAGTGATTCGATGGGTGCGTCGTCGTCTGCAGTGTATAAGCTGCGGTTGGGCTGCCATATGTATATTACGTAGTGGGTTTTGCTGTGGGAGGAAAAGAATCGATCTCGTTCGCTTAGTGGATGCCCCAGGAACATGATCTTCCATTCATTTCGAGGTATTACTCTCCATCCGCCGGTCGAGTCTTCCTCCACGTCAAACGAGGAAGCGAAATGGCGATGTACGCCGTCGGAATCATTCAACCAGTGGAAGGCTTTCGGTTCTGCCCATTCAACCACAAGGACACGCTTTTGGAGGCGAACTCTTCGTATCACCTTTCCCCTGATGATAAATGGGACCATAAACCTCCTATCCGTCTCCAAGTCCACAAGCACTAGACAGCGATGATCCGCACTTAGAAACACCAGTAGACCATCCTCATATGTCCACGAGGACTCAAAAAAGAGATCATCGACTTTTTGCATCAAATGACTAGCATGGTTTTCCCACGGCTGCACCGGGAACCACCCCCTCTCGCCGGAGACGCCAAAGTCATCGCTCAGTTTGAACTTTTGGATGGATTTCGGTTTGCCCTGAGCGAGATGGTCGTATCTGCACGCGATGCGGTCGAAGGTCTCGCGCCAGTGATGACCATCACTATCAACGTCCGTGCACTCAATATCCAAAGAAGTTTGGTTATGTACTAGCTCCCGAACCTCCTTCGCCAACGGGAACCATTTCCGCATTAACGGAACCAGATTAGCTGGGTCTCTGAAGGCTTCGTTCCAGAAGCGAGATACACTGCGGCAGCGGATCACATCTCGGGGTTCTAAATAATCCAGGAGCATCCAGAATGTCTCCCGGGGTAAGATGGATATAGTGTGATCCATTGGGGTGGGGTACACTGTGGGATCTAGGGATAGAGGTGGGTTCAAATGTAGAGTGGCATTTGTATCATGTCGCGGCCCATGACAAAATAATTGAGAGTCATTTATAGAAATTGCTTGAAGGTAAATGTAGGTGTGAGACTTCAAGCGAGGTATTAAAGTTGACTGACGGGCAGGTGCGGGGACGACACGTGATAGATGCCCCGAATAGGATATGAGGTATTTTTCTTGCTCACTAGATACGAGATGCCTACTACGGGGTAGAAATTGCCTAAAGGGCAAGCTGGAAGTACATGCGAAAAATTCGTGTTTGTTAAATGATTATTCTCTCGTAACAATCCAAGGGAACAAACCCTGATACGCTAACAAGTCAAGACATGTTCCCCTGCACTTTGTCGAGGATGAACCCGACACTCATATTCAGGCCATACAAACCACGAACAGAACACATCCCATTCCTGCTCTGGCCGCTTGAACTCGAAGTCAATAGCACGGACAATCTGAGGGATCACCTTGCTCATTTCCAGTATGCTGATGTTCTTGCCGATGCATGTACGAGAGCCAGCGCCGAACTGTGCGTCCATTAGCCAAAATACATACTAGGGACGTCGTATAATTTAGCAGAGAGAGAAACCTACCGGAAAGAACATAGCCTCTCGCAATTTCGAGCCGTCGTCATGCTCGAGCCATCGCTCTGGCCGGAAAGCGTACGGATCTGGTCCGTAGATCTTAGGATCATAGTGCAGGACCCATGCGTTGGCACCAACTTGAGTCTAAGAGAGCTTGTCAGTTGCCGGTACATCTTCATGGATGGTTTCACTTACTCCGGCGGGAAAATAACGCCCTGCGAGATGTGCTCCTCCTTCCGGAACAGTTCTAGCCAGGATAGTTCCCACAGCAGGATGCATTCTCAAAGCCTCTTTGATCACAGCCTGAAGATAGGGCATATTTTGGGATTCTTTGAAAGTCACTGGGTCTGACACCTGGCCGGTTGCCTGTCCTTGATCGATCTCCTGTCTGAGCTTGGCCAACTTTTCCGGATTCCTGTAGAGATAGTACAATGCTGCGCCGAGGGAGATCCCCGTGGTATCAGAGCCAGCGGCAATGTTGGCACCACAAGAGTCAAGCACGTTGATGCGGGAAAGTTTTTGAGCAGCCTCCTGTTCTAGGACTTTGGCGATGAATGGCTCGGAGCGCGGGTCACGCTTTTTCTTGAAGCCGTCACTGCTGTGTTCCTCTATCTTCCTCATGAGGAGATTCTCGAGAAATCCCCCGGCACCTTGCTTGCCAAGGATGTCTGCGATTCTGACGAGTGCATGGTGGACACCCGGGATTAGTCCGTAGTTCGCATGGTACACGAGTGAATCGCGGATAGTGTCAATGAAGCCGGTATTATCGCCTTCTCTTTGCATCATTCCGAAGTTTTCATCCACCTACAATCATTAGCTTCAATTCCACCTCGTTTGGTTATCCTAGACTCACAGTGATCTCCCCAATAACATCAAAAGCATAATACTGCATAAATTGCGGCACAGACAAAGACCTCTCTTCCCTCTCAATCTGCCCCAACTTCCTCAAACAAATAGCAGTCATCCGATCCACAGCAGACTCATAAGCAACCATAGTCGACATGGTATACAACGAAGCAACCTTCCGCCGTCTATCCGAATGGTCTGCCATGTCCCGGGTGGAGAATATGTTGGTTTGGTGGGGGTTGCCGGAGGCCTCGTAGTACTCGGATTTGGGAAATTTGTTGCCGGGGGAGTAGATTGGCTTTACATCTTCGGGGCGACTGAAGCTATAGCGGTTTGGTGCTACCCGGACGACGGACCCTGGTTTACTTTGTTAGTGGATGTTGTATAATCTTGTCTAGGGTTGCGACGTACCGTGTTTTTCATGCAGATGGACGAATTCCATATGCGAGTGTCCATGTCGAAGGACATACAATTCCCAAAACCTCGTCAAGCGGGCCAGAAAAGGTCCGGGGATGGATTTCAACGGGGAGAAGAAGACATCATAGATGATATGCCACACGAAGAATGCTGCGACCAAGCCCAAAACGGGCCATAAAAGTTCCATTTTATTGAATATGTGATTCTTCGCTCTTTCAGATCAATTTTACCCCTCCAGGAACAACTTTGGAGAAAAGCCCATTTTATCAAACTGTATCGGATCTCCACACTTTATATTACATTCGGTCCTCCACATTTTGCAAAAGAATTCCAGCAACGCCTCGAATATTGCCCCGAGTCCGCTCGGGACAATCGGACATAAGCCACATTTCTTTCCATGTATAGCAAGTAAACCAACTCCGAATTGTCCGTGGCCGGGGACCGTTCTTGCCAAGGCGTGTAAAGACTCTCCAGATTGCCCTCAATAAGTCATCTAGGCGATGCGCTGCTATAATTACCCGAAGAAAAAAAAAAGATATCGATATCCTATGATGCCATTGGCATGCGGGGTGCAATGGTGGTTTCAGGAAATTGTGAAGTTACAGTAGTGATGGTTCAACGGAGACGCCAATTTGGCCTGTCAATTTGTATATTTTAAGATAAATGATTGATGATTGATATAATAGAGAAAATGCATAATGGTACATTTCAAGAGTCATCTATTGCTAATGATGGTTGGTTGCATGTATCGAAGAGCATGGAATGCATACAGAACCTCAATATAGAAAAGTCACATGCCAAGAAATTCAGGACACTTTGCCTTTTGCACCACCACAACATCATCTCATCAACAGACACTTTTCTTCTGGCTGTAGCTACATAACATTAGCTTGCTTCTTCCCAGTACTGGCGAATTGGACAACAATGAAGAAACCAATTTTACTCGTCGCATCGCTGCTAGCGGCTCTCCCAGTCAGCGCCGAGGGAATCTATACTAAAAAGTCGCCTGTATTGCAGGTGAACTACAAGACATATAACCAGCTAGTCGCTGATTCCAATCATACATCGGTAAGCAACCTCCTCATAACGTCCAATACGCAAATATTAACAGTCCGACAGATCGTAGAGTAAGCCATCACCCCGTCAATCTACATCCCAAAACTAACATATACAGATTCTACGCCCCCTGGTGCGGCCACTGCCAAAGCCTCAAACCAGCCTATGAAAAAGCAGCCAAAAACCTAGACGGCCTAGCCAAAGTCGCAGCCATAAACTGCGACGATGACGACAACAAGCCCCTCTGCGGCCAGATGGGCGTGCAGGGTTTCCCAACCCTCAAGATCATGACTCCCTCCAAGAAACCCGGGAAACCTACCGTGGAAGACTACCAGGGTGCGCGGAGCGCGAAGGCAATTGTCGATGCGGTTGTGGATAGGATTCCGAATCATGTGAAGAGGGTTACGGATAAGGATTTGGAGACGTGGGTTGACAAAGATGAGGCGCCGAAGGCGATTCTGTTTACGGAGAAGGGGACGACTAGTGCTTTGATTCGGGCTATTGCGATTGATTTTCTCGGGTCGATTAAGGTTGGGCAGATTCGCAGTAAGGAGACTGGTGCGGTTGAGAAGTTTGATGTTAAGAACTTCCCCGCGCTCGTGCTGCTTCCTGGTGGTGATAAGGAGCCTATTGTCTACGATGGCGAGCTGAAGAAGAAGCCTATCGTCGAATTCCTGAGCCAGGTTGCCGCTCCCAACCCGGACCCCGCTCCTGCAAAGGCCAAGGCCAAGCCATCTTCCAAGTCCAAGTCCACCAAACCCGCAAAGGCCCAGTCGTCCACCGTCTACGACGACGAAGCCGAAAATCTCAAGCCAACCGAATCCCCAGACCACAAGGCCATCCCCGACGATGCCAAAGAATCCAAACCCGCCAGCGTCCCTATCAAAACACCCGAGATCAAAACCCTCCCCGCAATCGAAACCCTAAAGTCCACCTGTCTGGCCCCCAAATCCGGAACTTGCGTCCTAGCTCTCCTCCCCGAGCCCAAGGAGCCCGACTCCGACCTCCCTGGCCCCGCACAAACAGCTGTATCCAGTCTATCCGACATCGCGCACAAACATACCCTGCGCCAGAGCAACCTCTTCCCGTTCTACAGCGTCCCGGCTATTAATGCCGGTGGCAAGACCCTGCGCGCTGGATTGGGATTGCCAGAGGGTACGGAGAGTGTTGAGATTATCGCGGTGAATGGACGCAGGGGTTGGTGGAAGAGGTATGATAACTCCGAGAGACAGGACTTTAATGTTGTGTCTGTTGAGAAGTGGATTGATTCTATTCGGTTGGGTGATGGGAAGAAGGAGAAGTTGCCGGAGGGGGTTGTTGTTGCTGGGAAGGAGGCTGATGAGCATGATGAGCTGTGAAAGCATTCGCTGGTTTTGGAGAGTACAGATAAAAGCGCCGCGCTTGGAATATCTAAATCTTTTCATGCTGAATATCAAATAATACTAGAAAAAAAGAAAGAAAAAAATCTTATATACAAGACACACCAAAACACCATGACTGAATGCAACGTACAGCCCACAAATCAAACCAAAACAAGCTTTTTCTCTTAACAAATCAATCAGATCAAGACCTCTTCTTCCCTTCAGTTCCCTTCTTAATAATCTTCTGCTTCTTCGATTCAATCTCCGTATCGTAGATCTCCCGCGCGGACTCGCCCTTCTTCCGCTTAGACGGCTTCGCAGTCTTCACGCTGACGGTCGATGCGCCTCCGGCGCGGACTTGCTTCTCGGCATCTTCCCATGTGGTGCTACCGTTGTCGATCTCGTATCTGGAGGCTGGGATCAGTTATTGCTCATTCTAACTTATGATAAAACAGTTGTGCGAAGCGAAATCCAGATACAAGGGAAAGAGGGGAGGGCTTACCTGTCAAAGGGCAGGGAATCAATCAGCGCCCTCTGCTTCTCACGCAGTTCACTATCGATCTTCTCACCGCCCTCGCGGAGCTCTTCTTCTAACCCAGTTTCCAGGGGCTTGAAGCGCTCATCGACAACTTCATCGTGTGCATCGTGTGCATCGGGGGCCGGTGCTGTGAGGGGGATTGCCTCCTTGGGCAGAGTGTCTGCGACAGCACCCTCAACGAGCGCACGGAAATATGTCGACATCTTGCGCATGATCTTCAGGAACATGGCAAGCAGCTGCGACGAGGGCAGGTTGAGCTCCTTCTCCAGATCCTCGAGTTTCTTGCGCTGAAGGCCGATGGCCAGGAGGACGGATTGCTGGACTCCCGAGAGGCTGACCTTGCCGCCGAGACGGCGGGCGAAGTAATATTCTGCGATGGTTGGGACCATGTCAAGGATGACGTGGTAGTCGAGGAGGTTGTTGGCGTAGCTGTCGAGACGCTTGAGGTCGAAGGGGGAGAAGGCAGTGTCGAGCTCGGTCTTTGTCAAGGGGCGAGGGGCGATGGAGGTATCGAGTTTCTCGCCTGCGTTGGCAGACTCGCAGATGCTGAGGGAGAGGACGGAAGCGAACTCGCGGAATTGGTAGGACAGCAGGGCGAGGAAACGCTTGTGGTAGTCCCGTGCGAACGCGCCCAGCCAGCTGATGTCGCTGGATCCGGTGCTGAGGCCGCGGAGCATCACGAAGGAGTGCTCACCGGTGAGCTCGTTGGCGGTTTGGCGGAGGTAGACGGGGACGAAGGAGGAGCGTTTCCAGAATTTGTGGAGGGAGGGGGTTAGGCCGTAGCTGACACCGATGTAATCGAGGGCATCTGGGCGGCGCTCGGTGAGCTTGCCGAAGAGGGGTGGCATAGTTTGGATGTCGCGGACGTGGACGTTGTCGTCTAAGATGTTGGAGTTCTCCAGCTCGGTGTCGGTCACTCGGACCATTTCTTCGGGCTGGTCGGTGACGTCCTCATCGAGGCTGGTGAATTTGCCCTCGTAGAAGTCCACGAGAAGCTCGAGAGCGCGCGATCCGTATCCCATGTTCATGTATTCGGGGTTTGTTGCTATGCGGACAACTCGGGCACCTGAGAGACCGGCAAAGTCCTCGTCTTGGTACTGCTGACTGACAAGCCAGGGGATCAGATCACCACCGGCTCTTTGGCCACGGCTCAAGCTGTTAAGGACGCTCTGGCGGCTTATGCGACCTTCAAGCGCGACCTGGATGACGCAAAGCGGTTCCGGCAATTTGGTGGCTTCCTCGTCGATCGGCGGGACAAGCACGTAAAGCTGGTGTGCCGGTGCATCACTCATGAGCTGTAGGTCGTTGGGCGTGTTCTTGTAGTGACTAGCGACGTAGAGAGCCATCATCTGCTGCAGGAACTTCTCGGAGACAGGGTGGAATGAGAAGAGGGTGTCTCGGTTGACCTGGAGCAGCTGACATTTCGAGGGGTGAGGGCATCCTTGGGTGTTCATCTTGGACTTGGGCAGGGTTGCATCGAGGCAGAGAACCTTGTTCAGCCACTTCTCGACAGAGTCGCCAGGGGCGTAACGGATGGGCTCCGACAAAGTGATCTCTCTCAAGGACCGTCCACCGAGACCCTTCTCTGCTCCCTTGGCTGTCTTCCCTGTAGATCGATCGGCGACATCGATGTCTTCCTCTCCGTTTGCCTTCAAACCTCCTCTTGACTGCTCACGGAGCTGCTGGATCAACTTCAGAGAGAGGGACCGGCCCGTTCCTTCGTAACCGTTGATGGTCGAAGCCATGAAAACCAGGTACGGACCCATCAACTTCCGAACGAGAGGCAGAGGAATGGCGGCAGCTTCATCGATAACCAGGAGTTCGGCCTGGCCCAAGACATGAGCATCCTGAGGCTGGATGTACTGGATGGTCTGTCGGTGCTGACGGTGGATGTTGACTCTGACAATGGCTTTGTTGAAGTCGGGGTTGGTGGATTGGAGGATAGTGTAGTCAACATGGTCGAGGTAGCCCATAGCATCAAATCCCTTGAAGACAAACTCGAACAGGGTCTTCAAGTTTTCGGGGCTGGGCGAGGTGATGAAAATGTTGCTGTAACCGTGAGCAACTGCAGCCGCAATCGCAACACCAAGCGCAGCTGACTTTCCTCGACCTCTGGCAGCAGTCAGTGTAACAGTGTTCCGAAGCGTCTTCTCCGCAATCGCATCGACGAATGTGAGGAGTGCCTTGGCCTGGTCAACGGTCCGAGACAATCCGATCAATGAACCGACGGGCTGCGACTCTGCCAAGCTCTCCTTGATAGCCTTCAATTCCTTTTGTGTGCCCGATTTGGTTGGGTCGGTCGACTCCGCTGGGGGGAGCGGTTTCACGGTCTTTCCTCCAGAGATCGGCAAAACGTTCAACTCATCATCGACAACCAAACACGAATCGCAGCTACCCAGAGACAGGATGAATCTCTCGTTGAACCGCGCGACCACGTCGTCGTGTGCCTCCGTCCTGTATCGCGAGTGGATATCCATCGATAATGTGTAGAGTTGCTTCAAGCTGTTCATGCTCTTCAAGAGCAGCAAGACAATACCTCCTCCCTCGACGGTCTCGACGGTGCGCGCAAGCAGGTTGGGTGTCATGGCCTCGAAGTCTTGCAGGATACACATTCCGTACGTATTCCCCAGAATCTTCTCGGTCTCCTTGTAGTAAACATATCGGATCTGGTTGAGGGTGATGAACAGCTCGAAAGGATCTTCCTGGTTCGGTTCTCTGATGCCGCTCTTGACCTCCTTCTTAATCTTGGCCTCGCGCTTCTTCCGATGACTGGTGAAACCCAAGAGGTCCTTCTTGTATGCCCACAGCACCGACTTGTTCTGCTTGACGTCCACGCTGGACATGATATAGTGCAGATGCACAATCACATCCTTTGCGCGGTCACCAACCACGACGAAGAAGCTCCGTTTCTTTTCCTGCACGCCATTTCGAATGAGCGCGGGAATGCGCGAATCGATCGCCTTGCGAGGCATGATTTCCAGGGTATCTCTGACCCTCGTAAGCCTGACTGGCTACGAGATGTCTATCGTCGAGCTTGCGAAAAGTTCTTCGTCCGGGTCTTTCTCCGGGAACAATTCTTCCAGTGATACAGACCACTCGGCCACAATATGTGTCTAGATTGTAGCAATTAAATAAATAAGACAAAAGATATCCAGCTCAAAAGACCGGCGGCTGGTCAAAAATCAAAGTGCTGAGCTTCTGCACTCTCAACCGACATAAAAAAAAAAAAAAAAACGGCGCGATCAATCTGCTAATCTCTACCGCCTGCTCGTACCGTCACCGCCTAGGGCAGAAAGATGGCACGTGCTTTGAGCCCACTTTGAGTCTAGTCTATTCCAGAAAGGGGAAAGCTAACCATATCAGGTTAGCAGTTAGAGATTCCGACCCCTTACCATTTCGGGAAAACAGTTTACATCTTCTTCTCTCCTCGCTTGGAACAGCCTGTCTATTCAGAGAGCAGAGACAGAGAGGAAATGGCTGTCTATGTGCGTGTGCCGGGTATGCGCTGCGATCGGGCTGGGCATCCATGTGGGTTAGCCGTGCCTCTCACCACCCAACCGCCGACAATCCCACTATTCTGGCTAGTAAGTATCCCGGAGTACTGCTGCTTCTCGACATCGGCTCCGGACTATGGGGCATTATCAAGTTTTCAGCTCAATTGCGCCTGTCGATTTCACCGGTCAAATCCCTCTTTCTGACGCATCCGTTAAAACAGGGAATAACAAATATTGATCGCCATTATTCCATGCAGCCAGAGTCATTGTGTTTATCATTTACTCGAAAGAGACCTACAGAGCTGCCAATCACTCGCGCTGTTGCCGTTGTGCGTTGCGTGCTCTCCGCCCACTAACCTCCGGTATGGATTGAATCTGTTATTCTATCTTGTCCTTTATTACTAGGACAGTGCTAATAAACTTCTGTTGAAGCTATTTTTAATCGCTGTTTATTTCGCAGTGTCCCCGGCGTCACCACTCCGTCCCCCTGACGTCTCCACCTCCGATAGGCGAGACAAATTCCCCGGAGAACTCTTTCGAGCAGCGCAGTGACGCCCTTGGTGATTCTGTCGTTTCGCTCGCGTTCGTCAGATTCGTTCACTTGACCGGCTTCCATCTCCCCATTCCCTTTCGCTCTTGGACCGTTTTGCGACTCGTCTTCCGGTCCATCCGTTGGGTTATCGCGCGCGCGGAGATACCATACCGACCGTCTTTACCTGTGAAGAGCACGGCACGGCATGTGGTGAACCAAATGGACTACGGCAACGCAGTGGGAAGACTTATGTTTCCGGTTCAACTCACCGTACCATAACAGTCGTTTCAGATGGTATCTTTAACTGCGGACACGGGGCTCAAGGCCTCTGTGGGGTAATATTGCCTCCCTGTTGTTGCGATTTGCGACGAGAGAGACTTTTCTGCCGTAGAAGGCTTGTCTGGGCAATTGGCTGACCGGATCCCATGTATAGAGTCTTCCTCCTAAGCTGCACGTTTCTTACGACCACCTACGATACCACATTTGTTTTTGGTGAGTAGCAGAACCGGAGGTGCGGGGGAGAAGACTGCCAGGCGGCCAGCTAACCAAGAATCCCATTTCTGAGCAGATCGTCCTCTCAGCTCGATTGTGTTTGTATGTCTACTGTCTGGAATCTCCCTCGTTATTCTAAGCAGATTCTTCCACCATATCCCGACCCCAAAGTCTCTGTCGCAGAAGAACCGATACTCCGTGATACCACTCGCCGAACCTGGTGAGAGTCCGCTGGGGGAAAGACCCCTTTCGCCAGTGAGTCCCATTGGTGGACTCCCTATTCCAAAGTTGCGCAAGCATGGTAAATGGATACGGATCGCCGCGGTGTCGGCCATTTGCTGTATAAGGGTAGAGATATATCGACGGGTTGCTATCCGCATCGAATGCGCGCCTACAGGATACGCAGTAAGTATGCGAACAAGGCCCGCAATAGACCAATGCTCACTGGCGTCCCGTCGTTCAGCACACGATTCCTTTCCTCGTTTCTTTGTTCGATTACTGGCGCAACCAACGGTCTCGACCAATTGGCCAACGGTCTTCCGACGATGACTTCGAAGACGAGCCACCAACTGAACACTTTCACAAAATAACTGCACTATTCAAACGGTTATACCTATACTTCGGTCGAACGCGCATAAGATATGTCATCCCTGCGACTTTGCTCATGGTTGGCGGGATTATTACCTCCTCCTTCCACGATGGCAGAGAGTCGACCTACATCTGCCCTTTCATATCCGGCCTAGGTCCACACTTACGAGCACTTAGGGTTTTCAGTGCGATTCTCGATTCGGTGATTTTAATTGCTGCTGCCGAAATGTTCCGGGACGGAATTCGGGCCCCAGAAGGGAAAAGGAAGCAGTCTCCTATCTCATGGGGCTATTGCTTACTTGTGAGTCCAGCTTTGGTTTTATATTCTAACTTGCAGGATGTCTAATATCGATCTCTTCATCGCAGGGAGTCGCTTTGTTTTGGTCAGTGGCTGGTATCTGGTTGGCGAGAAGGAACCATGTTCCCATTCTTGATCCTGATACCCGTTACTTCCGGAGTGTTTTGGGACAGGCATCACTGGTGGTATTCTTATTAGTATCTGCCTCTCATCTTGTAAGTCTGGCGTTGCTCTTATTGTACATCATGCTGTTTGTACTAATTGATGCAGCTCGCCTACTACGGCATAGTAGGGATCTCGATAATGGCAGGCTTCATCGCTGGCTACTTTACATGGGCCTCAGCGTTGTTCAACGGACAAGAACCGTTTCCATTCCTTCCGCCTTCTCACGCTTTCATAGCTCTCGCTACCATGTTCCTGGGTGCGATGCTATTCCTCTGTGTGCGAACAGCTTCAGGGGAAGAACAAAAGTCACTCTGGGGATATAATATTTTTATGCGAATCCTGATCTCGATTATGGCTGGCATTGGACTCATTTTGATCTTCAAACAGCCTGCTGTTGGCAGCCTACATCCGATTGATTTGCTTATATACGATGGTCGAGCCCATCATAAAACATGGCTTTCCCAGGCACGAGGAAGCAAAAACCTTGCCGGTGCTGTACAGGAATATCGCAGGCGATATAATCAGCATCCGCCACCGTAAGTGCTCAGCTCTCCACAATTCGCTTTACTCTATTGACCCAAGGCAGAGGATTCGACAAGTGGTATGAATACGCAACCAAGCGATCATCAGTTATCATTGACGACTTTGATCAAATATACGAGGACCTCCTTCCTTTCCGCGCATTACCGCCTGAGCGGTTGAGATCGCTCACACATGAGGTTGCTACAAATCCATTCAACGATGTCGGCGCAATCGCCATCCGCAATGGTTCTGTCAACCTGCAGGTGGAGATCAAGCCCACGCACAGGTGGATGGTAGAGGGTGCCGCTCAGGTCATCGAACCGTTCTCTCAATACCTTCCAGATATGGATTTGGTCTTCAACTTGAACGACGAGCCGCGCGTGGCCGTCCCATGGGACAAAGCTACCCAATTGAGGAGCCAAGGAAAATACCAGTCCTTTATCACCGAGAGCAACCTGGTCAAGGAGTGGTCGGCCGATCGTGATGCGGGATGGGGGCCTCTTGATCCAGCCGATCAAACAGGCTTCAGCATGTTTACGGACTTCTCGTGGCAGAATATCTACGATCGCTACGCCAGTGTCGTGTGTCCACCGTCGTCCAAAGCCCGTACTCAACGAATCTGGGATCGACACGGCATATGTTTGAGTTGCATTCGGCCGCACTCGATGGGTCAGTTCCCTGTGGATTGGAATATTGCATCAGACATATGCCATCAGCCTGATCTGATATGGCTCCATGGCTTCATGCTCTCGCCGGCATCCTTGAAAGTTTCGCAGGACTTGGCACCGGTCTTCAGCCAAAGCAAGATATCCGGCTTCAACGATATCCTATTCCCAAGCCCATGGAACTACGTCGACAAAGTGAAATACGAACCGTCAAAGGAGTTCCCAGACCCCGAGTACACAAACAAAGAAAACTCCCTCTTCTGGATCGGCAGCACCTCCGAAGGAGTAAGCCGCAAAGGCGAATGGAAAGGCATGCCCCGCCAACGCCTAACCCACCTAGTCAACAACAACACCAACCAAGTCTCCGTCCTCCTCCCCAGCCAAGACCCTGACACCTACTCCTACCAAATAATGCCCAGCAACGCCCCAACCGAAAAACTCGGCCTAAGCGCCAACATCCACCTCTCAGACGTCGTCCGCTGCGACGACTGCGGCGAGCAACTCGACGAAATGCACACCGCCGAACACGTCGAGTTCCAATCCCACTGGAACTACCGCTACCTAGTCGATCTCGACGGCGCGGGCTTCAGCGGCCGCTTTCTGCCCTTTCTCCGATCAAACAGCATCCCTTTCAAAACCGGGCTCTTCAGGCAATGGCTCGACTCTCGCGTTACCTCTTGGCTACACTATGTCCCGCTTGACATCCGGTTACACGATGTCTGGAGTACACTGGCGTACTTTGCAGGTGTCAATGTGAGCGTGATAGACCCCGTAACCGGGAAGGAGAAGGTATTAATGGAACCGCATGATCTGCAGGGGAAATGGATTGCAGAGGAGGGGAGGAAATGGGCGAATAAGGCGCTGAGGAAGGAGGACATGGAGATTTATTTCTTCCGGTTGTTGTTGGAGTGGGGACGGTTGACGGATGATAAGAGGGATGTGCTTGGGTTTAAAATGTGATGATTTACGGTTTTTTATACGGGATGGGTTGGTGGTTTTGAATACCCTTTTCTTCTGGTTTATTTTTGGTTATTTTGGTTATTTGTTTGCTGTTTCTTGCAGATTTTTTATGTGTATAGTTGGATGCATACGTTGATATACGTTGGTTGGTTACAAATGCACATATCCATGGTCATAAATCCATTCATATTCCTACCCTGGTATACATATCGCAATAAATAACATAAAAAGTCACATACAGCTATCAAGCAATCCACACCTATGTACAAACAGGACAAACAGGCACCCACCCCGACCCATCAGGGTTATAAAAATGCACCGGCTGATCCGCACGACTCGCAACACTCCGCGACGGACCACCAATCGCAACGAGACATTCACGATGGTATAAATGGCGACAGGAGAATATAACAGCGGGGCTGGCCGGTTCGGTGTCGGGGTTCGGTGGTGTGGGGGTTTCTTCCTCGTCGTTGACGACTGTTTTTTGATCATTTGAGGACTGGTTTGCTGCTGCTGTGATCGCGGCGGCGCTTTGAGAAATGGCGCGGTGATGCGCAGCGGCTTTGCCCTTGCCTCGCTCGATGGCGGGGTCGTTTTGCACGGAGATCATCTTGCTCATTCTAAGCTGTGATTGTTCGCCCTGTCGCTCTTCCCAGCTTCTCCAGTACTTCATTCCCACGCCGGGACCCCAGATCTTCTCGCGGCAGATCTCGCATGTTTGTCCGCGGGGCCGCCAGCCGCGTTGTCGGAGGCGGGTGACTTCGTCGACGTGCACGAAGAGGTCGCGGTCAAGCATACCGTTTGCCAATGACAATAGGGATTTCTCGTACGTGTAGGCGGAGAAGATGGAGGAGAGGACGGCGCGGAGTTCGAGGAGGGAGGGGGACCAGGTTGCGGCGCGGGTGAGGAAGGAGCGCAGGATGCGGAGGAAGGAGATGTCGTTTCGTTGGCTGCCGGGGGGAGTAATAACACTGGGGGTTTTAGGAGTCGTGGGTGTTGTTGGTGTTGTTGGTGTTGATGGTGAAATTGATGCAGGGGAGAGGGACGAAGAGGAGCCGCCTTTGACGGTGCTGGAGAGGAGTGCGGTGAAGATTTGTTGGACGAGGGTGCGGAATGAGGAGATGAGTTGTGCGGCATTGCTTCCGTATTGCGAGGGTGTTGGGGCTTGTTGCGCTTTGGTGTCGGCTAGGTCTTCTTGTGTAAGCAGGGTGAACACGTTGCTTGCGATCCGAACCACGGCCTCGATCAAGTCAAGCCAGAGACCCTCGTCGAATAATAAAGGCTGGTCTAGCCCAGCCATGCTCCGTGTACCGTTTATTGGGCCTCCGCCCAACTGCCTGGCCGTTTTGGTCTGTCCCTGACACAGCCAGGTGCCTACACGGGCATACTTGTTCAACGACTCGACCAGGTCATTGATCGCCTCGGCCGTGCTCGCAGAGTCCGGACTCTCCCGAATACTCCGCAGGATGCCCACAAGTCCAGACTGTAGAGTTTCCAAGTGCGCAAGAAGACGATCCATTGCACCGCGGACTTGTCCTTGCCTAGTCAGTAAAATGACTGCTGCATCCACGACGCCGCTATCCTCCATAGACGGGAGGAGTTCTTCGAGTCGCACGTCGCCGATTTGCAATTCATCTACGAAGTCTGCAACATGCGTCGGGTTGTACTTGCAGAGCAATTGCACGTACCGCTCCACCATCCAGGGTTCGACGACATCGGAACGTCTGCTCTCACCACCTCGCACCGTCTGCGGTTCAATAATAACCACCAGGTACTGATACTGCCGGTAGCTATCCTCCTCCAGGACCTGAAGAAATTTGTTATGCGTCTCTGGCGCAAGCTCCTGCATGGTCTGCGCCGCCTTGGTCACGTTGATCGCGGCCAAACCCCGTGCAATGTCCTGGACCACATCGACAACATCCCGTCTCTGCTTCTTTCCCAGACACGAACCAGGACGGAGACAGTCCTGTAGACAAGTAAAGACCGCCTCCTGCTCGTTTGGATCCTCCAGATACGTAAGTATCAACTGCGGGAACTGCTTCTCAGCACGATATGTGGCTTTAAGAACACGGAAGAAACGCGCTTCCCGGAACAGCGGAATCAAACTCTGAATATCAGGCGGATGGTAAAAAGACAGCAAATACTCAACACTGAGTTCACAGTCCTCGCCCATTTCAGGGTTCGGGTAATGGCACAACCTCTCAAGAACGTTATGTAGCGTGGTTCCGGAAAGTAAGATGTACTGCGGGTATTTGGGAAGATTGCGCGCAACAAACATGTCCAAGTAAATAGTATCAGAAGGCGTGAAAGATGACGACGCGGAACTCATAACCTGCAATAAAATCGTAATCAGGTACTGCCGGTTGATCGAAATGCCGACGCTTTGCGAAGGCGATGCTTCATCCGGATCCTGCTCGTTCAGGAAGCTGTCTTCAAACGCTTCGTTAAGCATGCTCATGAAGCTGGGGGTGTCGAATTGCAGCATGGTCTGGAGGTCTGAGTACGAAGGGCTCCCTGAGAATAGATAATCGTACAGAGAGCCCTTAGCACGTGCGGATTCGGCCTCGTCCATGACCTCACCGGTTGGGTAGACGCGGCCAGTGAGAACAAAGGAAAGGTATGGGAACATTTTCACTGCATTTGTGTACTGCTTGAGCACATCTGCCGACTCCCCGTTGGCGAACGATTCCACTGGCAGCGGTATCATTCCCAAGAGATCCTGCAGCGGTCCGATGTAATCGCCCAGACAGCGGTTCCAGACGTAGATATAAGCGTCGTAGAGATTGTATTGCTTGCATAGCGACGTGGCCTGATCAATATCCATCGTCGTGGTATCCAGCAGACAGATAATCTCCTCGAGACCACTCGCGCTGTGGTTCGTGAAATAGTGATTGATAAGCGCCTTCACAGCGGTAGGAGGTAACGAGCGCACTATTCCTTCAACGATGTAGGACTCGAGGGCATCCAGGAAGATCCCCTGCGACTCATGTTCTTCGTACCAGGTGAAAACCTCATCCCAGAGAAACTCTAATTCTTCCATACAGACACAGGCCGCGATAGAGGCCTCTGCGAGTTCCGCGAGTTGCTTGCCCTCAAGTCGCTCATTGTTTGCTTCCGCATTGCGGCCAAAGGCGTACTTAAGCGATGCGGATATCATCTCCAACAGCCTCTCTCGAACAATCGGCTGTCTCAACGCGTCTTCTTCGGGGAGGCCAACGGTGAGCTTTTCTGCACTGCCTTTGAAATACGAAGTTGCCAGCTTGATAGCTCCGATAAAGTCACCAGCTTCCATAAGAGCCAGTAATCTGTCCGCCCAATTCGACAGCGCACCCATCAACGTCTCATTGTAGCCCAACAGGAATAATCGGCCCTTGTAGGAGCGGAAGCTCATGTAGAACGCATCAGCAACCACACCGTGCATGGAAGCATCTTCTTCATCAAGCTGCTCGACCAAGGAATGAAGCTGCCCGGAGAATAGATCCATATGGTAAATGTGTCTGTTGAGGAGATCGATAGAGTCGGTTACGCGCATAGACCCGTCTTCCAGTATAAGCAGCTGCTGCGTGATTGTTAGCACAGCAAGAACGGAGCGACTCAACCATTGCACAGCAACGATGGCTTCGTCAGCGACCCATCGACTGCGTGCTCTGAATGCGAGCTGGGGTGGCCGGTCTCTAGACGGTGGCTCATCGGTTTCCATCTCCGAAACCTCGAGTACGGTCAACACGTTTGACCAACAATATACAAGTTTTGTATTTGAGATCTGCGCATCTTTCCCCTTCAGTCGAATTGCCGGGAACCAAGCCAAAGCTCCCGTCATCGCACCATGAGCCGTAACCTCCTTCGGCCGCGGCGATTTATGCTGCGTTTGCGCCACGGGTGTCGTCGACACAATTACCAGGAGATATGGCGTAAGCATAGCAACCAGGCCAAGCGTGTCGGTGGGTTGCTCAACGTTTCCCAGTGGCAGGGGAGAGAAGGCGAGGATGGCGCTTGGTTTTCGCGGACGGCCAGCTTCTCCGAATGTCAGAGGATATCGGCCCAGAATGCGAGTGGTCTTCACGGTTCGTCCGACAGCGCCCATTCCCCGCGTAGCCAGGTGCGAAAAGGCCATCCCCCGCTTATCAGCTGATACCAGCGCCGTGCGCCTGGTACCCAGGAAACCAATGTGCACGACCGACGATCCGGATATATGTCCATCTGAGGTTCGCGAATCGATTTGTTCTGAGGGAATCGGAGGGATCTGGAGGAACGGGCGCGCGGATCGTGAGATCTCCCAGGTGAATATGTCACCGGACGCATGACCAGCCGCGACGGTCGAATGATCTGCCGAAAGGGCCAGCGCCGTGATCGCGCCGCATTCGAGCGCCCTCGTGCTAGGTCCGATAATAGCCTTCAAGCTCTGCTGGTAATCGAACACCAAAACCACACCCTTCGACGTCCCGATCACGATGAACGTGGTAACCGCCATGCAAGTAGGATGACCAAAGTTTCGCTTCCCGACCTCCGAGAACGCTTGTCCGGATATTTTCCGCAATCGAGTCCATCGTACCACATCCCAGGGGCCCTGCAGGTTTTCGTCGCCGGAATCTACCGTGCCCGGAGAAAGCTGGCTGACCAACGAGGAGTGTCGCGAATGGATATATCCCAAGTACGGCGAGGATGTTCGCGAGCCAAACGGTGAGGACGGAGAGGAGAGTCGCGACTGGAAACGTAGATCGAAGGGACGATGGGAGGGGCTGGGACTGGGCCGGAGTGCGAGCAGGTTGCTACTGGGCGAGGAGCGGAGAGAGCCCTGCGGCGATCAGCGCGGAACAAGCAAAACAGAAAGACGAGATGCAATTACCTGTAGAGACGGCGTATCATCCGGCGTAGAAGCAGTCTCATCAATACTCCCACGCAACAGCTCCGGCCGGGGTGACGATGACAGGTCCACCGGCGGAGCATCCTCTATCCCAGCCGTCTGACCATGACCGTTCACCTCCGGTCCCGGTGACAGACCCTCCTCGACATGTGCGATTGAACCATTGTCGCCATTCACCGGCGACGGACCATTCACAGTTCTATTCTGTCCGGGGGTAGCATCATGCAGTTCTTGGTCCTGCTCCTCATCTTGGCCCAGGTCGAGCTCATCCTCTCGTGCCCAGTCATGGCTGTCCTCGACCATGGAGCTCATCGGCGACAAGTTCGAATGACCATCGCCTTGACCCAGCCTCTAATCCGAGAGATGTTTATTTAAAAGGCGGCGATTGAAGGGCGCTTGGAGGGGAACGACGAGGATAGGCGACGAGGAGGTAGACAGGGCGGCGGGCGGTGATGTGGAGATGGAGATGGAGTCGGAAGATTAGATGGAGCCGCACCGACGGGGGATACTATTAATGTCCGAGTAAGGAGTAGAATGGCATAGACCGTGGCTGATGGACTGGACAGAGAGTGTGGATTGTTCAGATAAAGGCCAGAGCTGTCAGGAAAGCGGCATGCGGCTGTGCGGCGGTTAGTTGCGATAAACAACTGAGCTGTACAAGTATATTGACGTCCGATGTTTTTTCTCCCTTCTACTGCAACTAATTTATTTAGGCTATCTACTCTGTAATCAATTCTATATTGATCTCTACGGAGTTCCCCGAGTTGCATCGCATGGTTAGCGATATGTCAATAACTATCAATTATCGACACCTGAGGCAGACACATGTATAGACGCAACCCTGAGTAGAAATTCAACCTCAACATAGTTCATGACTAGAGACACTCTTGAGCATCTATCCTAAATTAATGCCTATTCGAGAGCATATATACGGCATGTGTCAAAATATATCAGACTGACAGATCATCTGATAACAATGTATCAACACTTGAACACGTGCCAACCACACCTTAGTATATCAGTCTCAGGGCATCCGGATCAGTGCAACCAGACCAAGGTAAAACTGATGTGTGACCATCACAAGTGGCATCATTCTTTCATGATACTAGACGCCAGGTGATTGCAGTGTGACTATGCAATTCCCCTTCAATATACGAAGTATATATATATATATATATATATATCTTCCTGGCATCCCGAACAACAGAGCACTCCACCAACTAGGTCTATAAACCTCAAACTAGACAATGAAGTGCTTCATCTACCCAATCCTCTTCCCCCTCCTCCTCATCCTAGCAAACGCCCTCGACCCGCCCCTCCAAACCCTCCCCTACAGCAACCTAACCCTCCTCGGTGCCCACGACTCCCCCTTCATCGGCCCACACCTGACGCAGAACCAAAACCTCAACGTAACCGCCCAACTCGACCTAGGCATCCGCTTCCTGCAGGGCCAAGCACACCGTGCTCCCGATGACGAGAACAGATTGCAGTTGTGCCATACGAACTGTGTGTTGGAGGATGGGGGGTCGTTGGTAGATTTTTTGAGGATTGTGGGGGGTTGGTTGGAGGGGAATCCGGGGGAGGTTGTGACGTTGTTGTTGACGAATGGGGATCGGGTTGGGGTTGAGATGTTTGGGGGTGTTTTTGGGGAGGCCGGGTTGGATGGGTTGGTTTTTGTTCCTGGGGGTAGTGGGGGTGGGAATGGGGTGTTGCCGATGAATGAGTGGCCGTCTGTGCAGGAGATGGTTGATATGGGGAAGAGATTGGTTGTTTTCCTAGGTACACTCTCACCCTCTCTCCCCGATTATATATACCAACTGACAAATGACAGACTACGGCGCAAACCCATCCAGCATACCCTACATCCTCGACGAATTCGCCTACTTCTTCGAAACCCCCTTCGGCGAAACAAACCCGTCCTTCCCCAACTGCTCCATCGACCGACCCCCCGGCGCCACTGCAGACAACCGTATGTACATCGTCAACCACTTCCTCAACGTGGAGATCCTGGGCATCAAGGTACCAGATCGGATCCGTGCGGCGAGGACGAATGCTGTGCATGGGAATGGGAGTATTGGGGCGCAGGCGGAGTTGTGTGAGGGTTTGCATGGGAGGGGGCCGAATGTGGTGTTGGTGGATTTTGTGGATCAGGGGGAGGTTATTGAGGCGCAGAGGGTGTTGAATGGGTTATAATGTTTTTCAGATTATATGTATGGTGGGGTATATGATCGTATCGTTTATTGACAAGTGGCTTACGCTCTCATAAGCCTGGGCTATTAACCGTCTGAAGGATTGTTCCCCAGGAACAACCTGTAGCGAGCACCTCGGGATAATCTGTAAGCCTGGGGAAGTGGTGATCAGATCACAGTCGTAATATTCTATCAGGCTCGAAAGATGAGGCTGAGGCTCTAATATGCGTCTATCATATGCAGTCATATATACACCAGACCAATCACAGGCCAAGGAGCTCGAAACAAACGTGAAATACGAGGTGCCGGGCTACTCCTCCAAGTCAACTTGCATCTCACGTTCTAACAAACAGTCAGCTCTCGATCCATATGTCAGAAAGAAAAATATGCATACCCCAAATCTCATTCGCCGATGCAACAATAATTTCCGCTTTAGCCAGTAACTTGGCAGAATACCGCTCTGCCTCTGTCGGATGCAGTTGACTTTTGTGCGATTTCCGTGGGTTTACCTAATCTCATCAGCACTGTAGCACGTATTAACCGGGTACCCGAACATACCATCGTCAAAACCGGAACAAGATCTTTAGGATCTGCCTCCGCCAACGCCCTCAAACCCTTATACCCATTCTCCCGTAATAGCCTTGCCGTCCACCCCTTAACATAAGTAACCTGCGCCATCTCCAAAAGATCAGCACGTGCCTCTGCTTCCAGTCGATCACGCATATGGTCTAGAACAGCCGCTAGCATGCCCCAATCCATTCTTTGGCAGAATTTGACGATGCCTGCGGCGAAGCCATGGCATTGTTGGGCTAGGGTTTGGACTGTGCCGCGGGGGATGCGGTAGCGGATGGCGATTGTGGAGAGAGGGACTTCATTGGAAAGGTCGCGCAGTTGGAAGGCTGTGTAGGCGCGGCGGTAGATGCGGGCTAGGTTAATTTGCTCAGGAGTGGTTTCTTTTAAGGTGGCGCCGGATTGGACCCTGCAGGAATGTCAGAAACTTATTCTCGTAATGTGTGAAATACGAGGGAGGGACACGTACATGGTGTTGACAAAACCCGGCGAAACACCGACAAATTGCAGCGCGCGCAAGCCACTCTCGTCAAGAAAATCCAATTGATCCCGAAATATCTGCCAATCGATTTGTGTGCTTGCCGCTACTTGCAGAGGAGTAAACATGTAGAAGATGTGCATATCACCGTCCATGACGAAAGCCTGCAGTGCTCGCTTTAGCTCTTTATACACGAAGAGGCCATCTTCGGGGGCGAATGCGGATGCAACAACCGCTTGTCCAAGCTGTGTTGCCTCGTACGATTCGTCATCTGTGAGGCGCAAAAGTTCTTCGCCGACTAGTTCTCGTAGTGCGGAATCCATGATGCTGTATGCGATTTTCTTGTCCAATGTCCGGCAGAGGAGTGTGCATTTCACATATTCCTTGATTGCTTCGCAACCAGAAGCCAGTCCGGTTGCTACTGCTTCCAAAAGTGCCCTGAGATGTAAGTAAAAATCAGAAAGAACATTTAAAAAAAGGTTACCTCTTGAGTCCCCGCTTCTCCGGAGCTAGACAGCTGGCGATGGCGGGCATATCAGCCTCTAATAAATCACACACGGCTTCCAAATCCGCTTTTCCACATATAAGGTACGTCTCTCCAGCTTCGTCCTTTCCTTTGCGTCCAGCGCGTCCACACATTTGTCGTCTATACAGTTAGCCAAATGGCATCCATTTAGGTGATTGAATACATACAGCATCGCAGGGCCGACCAACTCACGGCCCATTCGCGCACCATTTATGATAACTCTTCTTGCTGGGAGGTTGACGCCAGCCGCGAGACTGCACGTGGCGACAAGTACTTTTAAGGCACCTTGATCGTAAGCTTGAGCGATGAATTCTCTTTCTTCGGTCGTCATTCCCGCATCTGAGCTTGTCAGCTGATTTTCACAAGTATCTGGCCAGATACACACACGATGAAAGCCAACCCCCTTGATGAGCGTAGTTTCAAGAACCGGATCGAGACCACTTGGCAGACTGCGTAATTCAGCTAACAAGTCCAACCGTTTGCTCAACTCGGCTGGATCCACGTCAGTAGTTCCTGGCATAGCCTCGCTCATAATAGCCGCATGGAGCTGACAAGCTTGGCGATTGCCACAAAACACCAACGCGCCGTACCCAGCAATGGCTGTGTGAATAGCCAAAGCGACCATCGAGTTCGTCATGGGGTGGGAAAGTTCCCGGAACGTGGAGCGCTCGATCATTCGATGCGGAGGCATAGTGTTTGTCAGGGCTTCTGTTGGTGCGGATCTTAGTTTGGAAATGGTCTGGAAGAGTTGTCTAGATGTTGCTGCTGGATAGATAGCATTTTCGTAGATTAAATACTCGTCAATCGGAACGGGTCGATAGGTTGAAATGAAGAATTTGGCATTCATCCACTCTGCTAGCAGTTCGGTGTTCTAGTCCGTCAGCCTCGGGCAAGTTTAGTATGGAGCCCAGTCATACCGAAAGAGTGGCACTCATTCCAATGATTTGGATATCCTGCTGGAGCAATAGTATTTTGGTGACCATGAGTTCCAAAAGATAACCACGATGCTCATCGTCCAGCATATGCAGCTCGTCCAGAACAACGACGCCTAAATCGCCAATACTGCATTCTTCGATGGCACTATTAATCAACGAGTTGGCCTAACACTGTTAGAACCGAATAAGACAGCGGGCCTTAGCAAACCTTTTCAATTGTGCAAACAGCAATATCCGTATCCGTCCAAGAAGCCGTAGTCCTGCTCCCACCAAAATACCCAGTAACGCGAATAGACTTTTGTTCCTTCTGCCAATCCTGATCATCAAGAATATATTTGTCCACGTCCTGCACAATGCGTCGCAGCCACTTGAGCTTCTCCTGGACTAAAGCAACATAAGGCAACACCAAGATAGCCTTTTTAGACGGATTCTCAATGATGCGTTTCAGCATCAAAACATCGGCAACCAATGATTTTCCACCACCTGTGGGTGCCGTATAGACTAGGTGGCGTTCACCCGTCAGCAGCCCGCTGGCTAATAGACAGGATGCCTGCCATCCGTAGATACTGCTGACCCCCAGGGCCGCAAAATTCGCGACCAATGACGGGGGCAGACCATATCGGGGGTCTCTGAGAGATAGGAGTGGATTCTGGCTTGATGATGGAGGAGCCTGTTCCTCTATGCTGCGGCGTTGGTCCTCCGCTGCAGCAGTCACAGGACGGATCTCACTAGCTACCAGACGACCCCGTGATCGACTAACTGACGGACGAACAAAGTCCACTGGACGAGAAGTCGAGGAAGCCTGATGATAGCCGGGATTTGGCTGATAGATGGTGTTTAAACCATGGTTGACGCCCGAGGTGGATGTCTTGGAGGGCGGGTCACCTGACAGGGACTCTGGAGGGCGCTTGTGACCCGCCAACGAAGGCACGCTGTAAGCCTGTCTGCGCACGAGATCGATGGAGGTATTGAAGCCATGGGATTGAAATGGCTGTTGTCCCGACATGGCGGAGGGATGTTACTGGTACCTCTGGCACTATGGACGAGAGATCATCCCTGCTGCACTATGTGACTGGGACGACTTATTCCCTTGGAGTGATTAACCACTAATCGCCTTCTTATCTTAACTCAGTCTAAATTATGATTCAAGACCCCTCCATCGACGCGAACGCGGTGTACATTGGAGGCCTCAGGCATGAATTACATAATCTGATACCTTTCAGCGAAGGTTCCTGGATCGTCGAAAAGCGGGCCAATCAGAAGCGTTGATCTGCAGGCGCGCTCCATCGGAATGGAAACGATCCAGCCGGTCGGACATGACACTTATTGGTATACAGAGCAGTGAGCACTCGTAGAATATACTTCTATATGAGTAGAATGAAGAATAGTTGTTCTTGGAGACTTATCTAGATAGTCGGAGAATGTTACTGCCAGATATCTGCACAACACCCGCACGCTTCTCCATCGGGAGGTGGATCACATCCCTTGGCCCCTCACATCGTTATTGGAATGGTCTTGTATGTAGTACTTTTGAGGACTGTATTGTTTTTCAAAAAATCGTTGTTTGAATAAATGCCAATACAAACAGTTAATCGTAGCTATTGAAATGTACCCATACAATCATACAATACACTCCCAATACAGGGGCGTACTGACTAGGCATCATGACTTACTCTAAACGGACTGCACACTATGATTGGCCGAGTCAATGGCGATAGGATCCAGATCCATGCCCGATTGGGTATAGAAAGACGGAGAGATTCTCGTAGCACGATTGGTAATGCCATTGTTGGGATAGTTTGGGGATTTAAATAGAAGAGAAGATTAGGGAGAGTTGAAGATTGAGAATCTCCTAAAAGCAACCTAAAGTACACACGGAGTACGGAGTACTCCTGGGGGTTCCGGCAGTCGTACATACAGGTGCAGTGCAGCCGGACAAATCAGGAATTTTCTACTGGTGGATCGAGTCGGTGGCTCGTAACTGTTCTGCATCGTACGGATGCTAACAGAATAAGACACGGGTTGACAGAATACAGAGAGTACAGAGTGCAAGAACATATATGGGTACGTAGAATTTCCGTGGTGAATATGTATGCCTCGGGTCGCTCGGTCCACCGTCCGGATTCCCTCGCGCTCGTTTGGAGGATGTGTCTTTTCCGCAGTGTAGATCACGACGTTGGTATTCAAAGTATCACTCTTTTCTCAGAGTACAATTCCACGGAGAGTACTCTATAGTGTGCAGGGAATAGGAACAGTAGAACAAGAGTACTTGTATTACTTGGTAGAATAACTTCCCCCGTACTGGTACACGTATAATCCGGAGGTTGTCATATTAACCCATCGGGACTAACTTAGGGGCACACGACGGGTCGGAACATCCTGGAATAGGATATCTTGATGAATGCCTTCTTGGGTTTCTTTCATTTCGCCTTCGCTCACTTCCACTTTTTCCTCCTTTCAATCTTTTCTTCCCTCCTTCTTTTCTTCCGTTTACAGTAACTCGACTCGATCCTGTATCTTGTGTCCCCGTCTATTGTGGTTCTGCGCGTGTATTTTTTTTCTTTTCTTTTCTTTTCTTTTTTCTTTCTTTCTTTCTTTTTTTTTTGAACTAGGCTTTCCACCGCCGCTAAGGAACCGCATCATCATCATCACTCTATTCCTGGTTTCTGACTGTCTTCTTTCCTCTCTTCTTCCTCTCTCCTACATCTCTCCGTCTGTTCCCTTCGAGTTCGAATCCTCTCTTCCCCTCCGTATATTTATTCACTGTCCCTGCTAAACCATATCCTCACATTCCTGTTTCCCCGATATTGCACATCCACTTTCCCACCACCCAACATATCACCCTTGCCGAAAGGGAATCGAATTCCCTGCCCATAACGGTTTACTTCGATCCGGGGATCTCCTGCGGCCGAGATTTTTCCAACTGACTTGCCTTCTTATCCTTTCACTTTCTCTTCTCTTCTCATTTCCACTTTCTCCCTTTTTCCTTTTCTCTCTCTCACTGACTCGCCGTCTCTTGTTCTTCCTTTTGTCACTTTACTCGGCCAATCGCCGCTCCATGTCTTCTCTCCACGTCCGCTGCTAGTCTTTCTTTTTGTTCTTTCTCAACCTGCACTTCCCACGCGGGATCGTCCCGTCAACTGAGCTTTCTCGCATCTCCCGCGCCTATTCTTCTCTACTCTACTTTTGGTGTTTGTTTCCCCTATCGCAATCCGGACTACCAAACGCCTCTCCCCCCCCCGGAAGTCTACTCCCTGTTTCTATTTTCTCTCTACTGTAGCGCCGGTTTTGGAGTTTTCCCTTTTTCATCTTCCCCTTCCCTCCATCTACCTTTTTCTCTTCTTCTTGTTTCTGCTTTTTGTGAGATCCTGTCATGTCCGCGGACAGGTCACCTCCCAACAAGCCGCAGCAGCAACAGTCACAGGAAGGAGAGCAGCGCAACGATCACTACGGGAGATCAAACAAGTCAGCTCAGCCCGCCACTACCACCACCACTACTCAACCTGCGAATGAATCGCAGCCTCAACTCATGACTGCCAGCGCATCACCCTCTGAGGCCCCCGCCTCAGAACAGCCGTCTAACTCTTCCGCCACTGCAGTTCCCTATGGCACGCGCTCAAGGGGTCGCAATGCGCCGCGTCCCAATTATGCAGAGGATCGCGACTTCGACGTGGATCTGGAAGTTGCTCATCCCACATCCGCGTCCAAGTCGTCCAAACGCAGTGGTGCGGTGGCGCCAACCAGTAACGCCAATGGCTCCAGCTCCAGCAGCAAGCAACAGCAACAGCAACAGCAGCACGAATTTGAAAAACCATCTTCGCGAAAAAATCCCGCAGCCTCAAATGGGGGGCCTCAGTCAGCAGCAGCAGCCGCCGCTGCCTCCGCCAAGGACTCCATCCCCGGCACTTCTTCCTTTTCCGCTAAATTAGAAGAGAGCAACACCGCAACGTCAAATCCCTCGCGGAAACGAAAGCAACCCGCCAACTCCCACGCGACCAATGCTAACGCCCCCAATGGTAACCCCGCCAAGAAGGTTTTTACCACCGCGCCTGGTTTCGTCCAGGGACAAACAGCATCTAACATGGTCCATTTTGAGAATCATGGCGCTAGTCTCGTGGACGGTGTTTTGACCGCCGACGATGGGACCACCTACGCAGTCAACGGTACTTTTTTTTTTTTTTTTTTTTTTTATATGTTGAATATATGCTAACTAATTGACAGATCATGTTTACCTTATTTGTGAACCACCTGGGGAGCCATATTATTTGGCCAGAATCATGGAATTCATCCCCTCCAAAGATACGCCTTCGGGGCCAATCGAAGCGCTGCGAGTCAACTGGTATTATCGGCCGCGTGACATTCAACGGAGAGTTGCAGACACTCGGTTAGTGTTTGCCTCTATGCATTCCGACACTTGCCCCCTGGGTTCATTACGCGGAAAATGCCAAATTCGGCATTTATCGGAGATCGAGAACTTTGACGAGTACCGCAAATCCCGGGATAGTTTCTGGTACGATAAAATGTTCGACCGCTACATTCATCGCTACTACGACGTCATTCCTACCAGTAAAGTTATCAACGTCCCCGCGAATGTAAAGAAGGTTTTGGACGACCGGTGGAAGTTTGTTCTAGTGGAAATTGGCAAGCGCAAGGAACTGACGGCCGCCGTCAAAACCTGCAAGCGCTGTAGTCTCTATGCTGCAAAGTATGTATTTTTTATTCTATTATATTCTATTATAATTACTAACATAATTTAGTACCGATTCGGTGGATTGCGCCGTTTGTCACAATACATACCACATGTATTGTGTACGGCCCGCATTAACCAAGAAACCGGCCCGTGGCTTCGCATGGGCCTGCGCCGCTTGTAGCCGTGCGCAGGAACGAAAATTGGAGGCCCGCCACACTTCCATGATCGGTGATGCTCCGCCCGAAGGAGAAGAAGAGATTCCCGAGGAAGAGGAAGAGGACCCGAACGGTGCTGCCAATGGCACCAAGGGCAGCACGCCAGCCACAGCCGATGATACGGCAATCCATCCGGCCACCGAGGAACAGACAGCACAGGCGCGGATGTGGCCTTTTCGGTACTTGGGTATTCATTGTCGGGTGGAAGATGTATTGGACTACGATGACCGGATATATCCGCGTGCCAGTTCTCGTCTTGGTCCGCGACACCAGGCTATGGTCAACCCGTGGCCGGGGCGTCCTGTGGAGTATGTCAAGCCGACAGAGATCAAGAAGAAATACTTGCAAAAGTCATCTAGCCGCAAGGATTCTAAGCTCGGAAAGGAGACTCTCGCGGCCATCGAAGCTGCCAGGCAGGAACTGGCGAATCGACCAAAATGGGTAACGGATGAACCAACTGGCTATGTTCGACGCGGGGAGGATGAGCCAGTAACGGTCAATGGAAAGTCGACCCGGACCTCTGAGCTGTTGTTCAAGATGCCCACCGCCACCCAGATTCCATCGTCGTCGCGCGGAGAAGATGATGCCCCCGGTTCGGATTTAACCCCGGAAGAGCGCGAAAAGTTTATCGACGATTATATGGCACGTGCCAAGGAGATTGCTCCCACGATGAGTCTTGAAAAGTGGTCCACCAATTTCCTGGACAAAGCCCTGGAATTGCTCTACGCCCATGGTTTCAACGTGGATGCCGCGCTGGCCAAACTCAAGAAGTCCAACAAATATAAGGACCTTAAGGAACCCCATTTACGCCCCGAAGAGCTCAAGTTGTTTGAACAAGGTGTCAGCAAGTATGGATCGGAACTCCGCAACGTGACGAAGCATGTTAAGACCGTCCCCCACTACCAGATCGTGCGATTCTATTACGTCTGGAAGAAAAGTCCCCGCGGGAAACAGATTTGGGGCAACTACGAAGGGAGAAAGGGCAAGAAAGAAGCCAAGCGGGATCTGGCAGCCGCCAAACTGGCAGACGACGTGGCAGACGATCAAGATGATTCAGCGTTCGATGCGGATAAAGCGGCCGACAAGAAACGCGGGTTTACATGCAAATTCTGCCACACGCGGAACACGCGACAATGGCGCCGCGCACCAGCAGTGGCACCCGGCACGACCGTTCCTGCCGAAGCATCGTCCTCCAAAAAGGACAAGAGCTCTCAATTGATGGTGGCCCTTTGTCTGCGATGCGCCCAGCTGTGGAGAAAATACGGCATCCAATGGGAGAATGTGGATGAAGTGGCCAGGAAAATTTCCCAAAGCGGTAACAAGTCATGGCGTCGACGAATGGACGAGGAGTTGCTGGTCCAACTTCTTATGACTTCCGAAACTCCGGTCACGATCAACAGTGGGACTGCAGCCGCCGCGGCCGCGCTTGGCGTCAGTGTCAGTGAATCCACACCGCAAGCCCAGGAGCCACCATCGAAGAGGAAGGGTCACCATGTCAACGACAAAGAGAGCGCGACCAGCTCAGCGGCCACGTCGGTGGAACCGGCACCCGCGAAAAGGAAGAAGACGGCCGCGACCGAGAAACCCGAGCCTCCGCCGATTATCCCCGATCCTCCAAAGGCCCGAACGCTTCCGTGTGCCGTTTGCAACCGGATCGAGCCTGCGGGTAACGACCACCTGTCATGTCGCGACTGTCGCCTGACGGTACATCGTAATTGCTATGGTGTCAGCCCCACGCGCAACGGCATCAAATGGCTGTGTGATATGTGCTCGAACGATCGCAGTCCGATGATTTCGACGTGTTACGAATGTGTTTTGTGCCCTGTGACTTGGACGGAACACGAGTTGATGGAGTCGCCTAGGGTCTCTCATAAAAAGAAGACTGATCGGGATCGGGAGAAGGAAAGGCTCGAGAAGGAGATGGTCCAAGAGGCGGTCAAGCTCTACCGCCAACGACAAGAGGCTGTTGGTAAGCCTGTCGGTCCTCGAGAACCGTTGAAGCGAACAGTGGGCAACAACTGGGTACATGTGGTGTGTGCGATATGGACCCCGGAGATCAAGTTCGGGACCGCCAAGGAGCTCGAGCCGGCTGAAGGTTTCGGTTTCATTCCCAGTGATAGGTATCGCGAAGTTTGCAAAGTCTGCAAGTCCAACAAGGGTGCGTGCGTGTCTTGTCATCACAGTGGCTGTAACGCCCGGTTTCATATTGGCTGCGCGTTCCAAGCGCAATACCGGTTTGGATTCGACATCGCGCCCGTGAAGAGTTCTCGACGTGATTCTGTGAACAGCATGCGACTGGGACAGGAGACCGGGTCTGCGAGTGCGGCCATATGGTGCCCCCACCACCAAGTGTCGGGTGCCGTTCACGATGTCGGCGAGATGACGGAGAAGGAGGGTGTCAATGCGCTGCAGCGATTTGTGCAAACTTACAAGCAGGCCGATCTGACGCTTACGGGAGCTGTTCGAAAAGCGGCGCATGTTCAACAGTCCATCGGAGCTTCACAGCCGCTTGTGCTGGGTAGTGGACGACGAGCATCGGTCGCCAACGGTTCGGTCAAGGATGTCCACGAGGCGCCTGTGGACGAAATGGAGATCGATTCCGAACCTCCAGCGCCATCGTGCCCAATTGTCGGGGACCTCGTGGAGCGACATTGCGTTCGCTGCTCGACAGGTTACAGTCCCAGATGGTGGTCTATGGATAGGTCGCGACGGATGACACTGATGAGCAACCGGCCACCTTTGTTGAACGGGATTGGAATGGGTGGACCGCCACCGTCCGGCATCAGCCCGCCATACCACCCAGGTCCATACCCTCCGCCGTCCTATGGGATGACTATTGAACGAGATGAGCCGATATATGAATGTCACAAGTGCCATCAAAAGAGCCTTACGGCACCAACCCCGGAACCACGGCCATCTGGTTATACTACGCCCACTCAACGACCGGTGTTGCCAACACCTCGACTTGTCGAGTACAGCCATCCATACGCGCCACCGCACGCGCATCACCCGACACCTCTCCCTCCGACAGCGTCTGCACCGCCGCAAATCCACGCCAGGCCCGACTGGTACCCGGGGTATGATCATGGACCTGGCTACGGAGGACCACCTACGGCACCACCGGCACCGCATCATCTCAGCGGTTACCAAGCACCTCCGCCTCCGCCTCCTTCTCACCCTTCTCATCCACCACCTCATCCTACCGCTGGTCCTCCACCACATTTCGCAAACGGAGTGCCTCCACCTCAACACTATGCGACACACCAGAGTCCCTACGGTCCTGTGCCTGTCCCATCACCGCGTCAAACCCACGTGCCAGTGGCTGGTCCACGTCCGTACGCCTCGTCCGCGTCGCCTCCAGAGGTGCAAGCTACGATGGTGCGCCATTCGCCGCAGCATTCAATCAGCGCGTTGAACGGACCGCCGCCGCGGATGTACTCTACAGATCGTGTTCTTAGTGCGCCAGTGCCATCACCTTCGATGACGCAGGTATCACCAGCGGCTCCCCGAGTGGAGGATACACCGGTAACGCTGCCACCAACGAGCCAGGGCCGACATGGCAGTATCAACGGGACTCCCGCACCGCCATCAGGGGCGAGTGCGAGTCCATCGTTGAAGAACTTGTTATCTTGATTTTTGATTTCTTGTTGTGCATTTCATAGAGCATTGGCTGTTTGGGATTTTGATTTTGTATGATACCTCTTATTAAAATTCGATAAAACAGAAAAAGTAGTAAAAAAAAAAAAAAAAAAAAAAAAAAAAAAAAGGGTCGGAAAAGGCTTTTGCTTATGCAGTTTGTTGTTACAGGCATTTGACAGGGATTTTGAATTGGACGGGGACGGGGCGCACGAGGGTGCATTGGGCGGATTAATGCATGTTACTCTTGGTTACTTGTTGTACTCCGTAGTTCCAGAAGGATTGTAGAAGCTTATATCACATGATTGTGTTTGCTATCCCCCGCCACTTCTGCATTTGTGTACTTGCTGGTAGTCTCATGCATAAGACATATGATTCTAATGCAAGTCCATGATCGTCCATATCCAACATGCCAGAACCCCCTCCCAATCCCTCCACACCAGACAGCTGCTTCGCCACAACCGCCGAAAGAGCCTACTACCACTTTGACAACATCTTCATAAAACGCACCCTCCGTTCCAGCGAAGACATGACAACGCAGCGCGGCACAAAGCACGTCCCCCGCCTGAACAAAGATCGTCTCCAGAACGAGGCTGCGTGTCTATGGTTTATAAGACGCGTTTGTCCTGAGATCCCTGTCCCGAGGATTTATGGGGGCGTTCGAGGTCGATTGGAGCTTTTTGTTGACTACGGAGTATGTACAGGGGTTAGAGGAGGGGGAGAAGAGAGTTGTTACGGAGGAGTTGTTGGGGTATCTTGCTATACTTCACCGCATCAAATCGAAGACTACTGGTAGCCCGGACCCAAAGGGTCCAGTCATCCCTCCATATCGGGCTATGGCTGCAGACGATACCAGGGATACCTGGCCGCGCAAAACAAGTGACAAAGAGGAGTACGTATTCTGCCACAACGACCCCTCGCAAGCAAACATCATCGTCGACCCCGAGACACTGAAAATAAAAGCAATCGTAGAATGGGAGTACGCAGGGTTCTGGCCAGAGTGGTTCAAGATGCGCATTTGGGAGAGAGTTGGGCCGAGTGTGGCCCTGGAGCGGTTTGGGGAGAGGGAGGATGTGCCTGCATTGCTCTCGTTTCTTAATGGTAGCTAGACTCGGTACTTGTATACAGGGCTAACCCGCACGCACCAAGACGCGTGTCTGGTATGGCCAGGAAAATAACTAAGTAGCGAGTAATGTGATAGGTGATCGCTACGAATGGAAACAGAAAAAAAATGAAATCATGGAGTTCACGCGCGGGTCTCGACCAATCATGGAGCAGGGAAAGTTTGCCACGAGTGGGTTTTCCAGAAGGGTTTTCGAACATGACTATTCTATTCACAAGTACGTAGTGCAGAATAGGTGGATGGGTACTCCATACAGGGGGACTGGTATCTTACTGCATAGAAAATTAAAGACGGGATATATGGTATGATGTTTCTCATAATTGTGTATACTTCGAACTGAGTTCAAGTGGACAGGAAGCCTTCTAGAACGGCCCACACCTCCGCTCACGTACATAAGTAGTAGCAGTTTGTCTGCGTAGTGGTAGTGTACAAGAGTAGGCATAATCAATAACTATAGTAGTAATTTAAGAATAGTATGATCAAGTATTGTGATACTATCATCGTTATACAGGGATATGGTGGTACTGTGTTATAGTATCACTGTACTTCGGAGTAGTACTGACTGTGGACTGCTTCCAGAAGGCGGCAGAACACAGCCCGGCGTCTTTTCTTTTTCTTCTTTCACTGATCGATTATATCATCGGAGGCTCTTTTCTCTACTCTATTCTACTCGACTCTCTGCACTCTGCTCTATACCCTACTCTTGTACTCACTCATATTGTCCTCTATTCTCATTCCCATTCCCATTCCCATTCCCATTCTCATTCTCTCTTTATCGCACGCATCTCCTGTACATCACCTGACCACTTCTGCAACGCATCGCCAACCGGTCCACCACCATGACCATGGCCTAGTTCTCGTTTCTTTTCTCTTCTTTTTCTCTTTTCTTTTTCTTTTTCTCTTTTCTTTTCTTTTCTATTTATCTATTGCTCTATTTGTTCTCTATCATTTCTTATTCTGCTCATTATTCTACCCTCTTACATCACGTATAACTGTGGTGGCCACCATCGCATCGTGACATCGATCCGCCATCTCCGATTCGCATTCTGTATAGGTAGGTATTTTCTCGTTTACTCGCTCTTTTCCCCTTTTACCCGGCTCTATTGTTATGCCCTCTCTTTTGTGTGTTCTGTCCTCTTCTGTATCCTCAGTCCCTCAGTCCCCAGTCCTCCTCCGTCAGCCCGCAGTGGCTACCCGCTGTCTCACTCGAAAAAGAAAAGAATATTCAATATCGATAAGAGACAGAGAGAGACACACAAATAAGAACTGCCAGACTAGCGAGAACAGCTAGACAAAGCATTGTGGTCGAGACACCGGTTCTTGTCGAGGCCCGCCCCAATTTATTCGCTGGTCCCAGCGCCGGCTCTTCTCGCGCACTCCCTTTTCTCCTGTTCGCTCATTTCCCTCGTTCTCTCTTCTCTCTACCCAAGCCACTCTTTGACGTCAATTTACATTCTTTTTGTTTTTTCTGTCCTTCGTTTATACACTCTTTCTATTTCAATTCTATCGGCGCAATTCATTCGTTCTAATCGCCAATTCAACAGTACCTACCACCTACCCTCCTCGATCGGTGTCATAATCCCGTCTCTTCCGAACCTCCCATAGACACTCCTCTTCCCCGGCAATACCATATGAGACCGAGTCCAGATCCCTCTCTATTGCCACTGCTTTTCTTTATCTTCTTCGTGCGTCTTCGTGACTTGCCCGTCATCTGACAGTCTCGTTGTGTTGTCGCTTTTCCTACTCTTCGATACGACTCGGCCCATACCTCGGACCTCCCCCGACCACCACCATGGATCGCGTCGAGTGTTCGGCCGTCTATATTGATGATCGTGTCAATTCGGAGGGTTGGGTGTCACGGAGGTTCTCCAGTGCCTCTGCTATCACGTCCGATGCCTCCCCCATCTTATCCGATGTCCCTCAGTCGCTGCGTTCCGATGTTCAATTATTATTACTCGTGTGCAAGAAAAGTAGGTTGCGATGATATATGCAGGTGATCAATTGACTGACGTGGTGCGTTTCAATAATTAGTCTATCTTTGCCGCTCCGGGACATCCTTTGCGAATAAACTCGCAGAAATCGGCGAGTTCGGGGAAAATAGCCACCCCGTGTTTGCCTTTTTCGACGTCGAACTAGGCAGAGAAGATTCTATCATTGCTCGCCGCAAGGCGAATCGAGCCTCGTGGCCCGACCTGGGGCCCCCCTCGCCCACCTCCCTGCGCCGCGGTTTCACCTTTTCGTCGCAATCGGAAGAATCCTACGGTCTGCAGTTATTATCCGGCCTTTCATCCGATATCCAACTGCAGGAATCTCCGAGCCTCATTATACCCATCGCCATCTTGCGCACTTCCTGCGCAGAACACCCCGACCACGGCGCTGAATTACAACAACAGAACCATCTCCTTCCCGACCCTCAACAAATCTCCAAATGCCTAGACGCCGGTGCCATCGATGTCTTGACTACGCCATTAGAAAAGGCCCGCATGCAGGGCCTGGTCGTGCAGGCCTATCGCACCCAGAAAACTGCCCAGCGACAGAAATCCCGCTTTCTTGCGCGCAGAAAGTCGCGCAAACATTCTTGGGTAGGGGTGCATGATGAACAGCCATATGCTTATCTTCGAGAAGCAATGTACGTCGTCGTCGTCGTCGTCGTCTGTATCTTTTTGAACCATGCTAACAATTACCAGGGTATCCAAACTGATGAAAGGGATTTGTAATCCGGAAGAAACCATTGAAGACTTCCAAGACCGGTATGTCATGTCCCATTTTTGTGTCACGCGTGATGCTGACCTTATTAGGGAACTGGATATCCGCCCCGAACGAGAAAGTTATGTCAAAGACCGCATTGGAAGTTGGGATTTTACGGCGCATGAGTTTACCGAAGATGAACTCGTTTTTGGTGCCTGCGAGATGCTCCAGCATGCGTTCCGGATGCCAGAACTCGAACCGTGGCGGTTAAGTTCAACCGAACTACGAACGTTTCTCTTGGCCTGCCGTGCCGCTTACAATTCCTTCGTTCTCTACCATAATTTCCGACATGCCATTGACGTTGTACAATCAGTTTTTTGCTTCCTTCTCCATATTGGCGCGCTGCCTCCACATGCTCCGGTCGTACAAAGCGGCACCTCGAAATCCCCCATTGCTTCTCTCCTCTCTCCCTTTGATACCCTCACTCTGCTCATCTCCGCAATTGGCCACGATGTCGGACATCCGGGCGTTAACAACTTTTTCCTCGTCAAATTGAATGCCCCTCTGGCGCAGCTTTATAATGACAACTCCGTCCTGGAAGCGTTTCACTGTGCTGCATTTTCACAGATCCTCCGTCGTCACTGGCCCGCCGCGTTCAAGGATAAACAGCTCCGGAAGTTGCTGATTAGCTCGATTCTGGCTACGGATATGGGCGTACATCAGAAGTTCATGGAGCGGTTGGGATCCTTGCAGGAGAAATTCCACGAGAACAACCGCAGCATTATCGGCTGGAAGCCTCAGGACATTGACATGTACAAGACACTTCTTTGCGGGTTGTTGATCAAGTGCGCGGACATCAGCAACGTCGCGCGGCCGTGGGATGTGGCCGAACAATGGACCAAGATTCTGCAAGAGGAATTCGCCAACCAGGGTGAAATGGAGAGAGAAGTGGGCATGGAGACTGCGCTATTCGGAGGCCCGCCCGAACTGGGTAACACGTACAAGTTGGCGACCGGTCAGATTGGGTTCATGTCCATTTTTGCCGTTCCGCTCTTTGAAGGTGTTTCGGATATCCTTCCGCAGTTGAAATTCACGGTCGAGCAGATTCGCAGCAACCAGAGTCGGTGGCACTATTTTGCGGATTTGGAGAAGCGGAAACAATCGCTCCATGATGGGCGACTACTGGATGATGGCCTTTCACAGCGTTCTCCTCGTTCCCAGAGCCCGGCTGTCAGCTTCAAGACATCGCGTTCCGTGCAAGCGAAGGACGATGTGACTACGCCACAGCTTGCTGGAGAAATTCTCGGAACTGAGGCGGATGAAACGGAGGCCGCTGTCGCGGCCACAGCAGCAGGGGACGTAGATGGTAAACCGTTGGAAGGGGCAGAGGACTACTTTGGCCCATCTCCAATTTCGTCAGTCGGTACTGCTTCACCAAGAGGGTATAATGAGAACACCATCAGCCCGGTGGTGTCTCCTGATACCCCGGGTCCATCCATGGACATCACCGGCAGTCCGATGCCGCCTCCGGACGAGGCCATTCGGAGATCTCCCGAGAATCCGGAATTCATATCCAGTCTGGCGAATGCATCGCGGCGCGGTTCGGGTGCTCAAAACAATGCCGATTACATGGAGCCGTTACCCGGTGCGGTTGATCGCAACCGCACACCGACCGACCCGTCTGTTCTTGCCGCGATGATCTTTGCCAACGCGTCCAAACACGATGGGGAGGCACAGGATCCGTCGCGCTCAGGCGGTAGCGATGGTGACGGTGTTGATACGCCGTCAGGGGACCACCAACGGCCCGGTAGTTTTCGGCATGGACCCTTTTCTTTCCTTAATCGTCGCCGGCCTCATGCCAACACCAACTCGACAGGACGAACTTCAGGTCCGTCAACATCGCAGCGGAACAGCTGTACGCGCACGCACAGTGTTAGCACATACAGCAACAACATGACTCCGATTTCACCCGCGACAAACGCGACCAGTTTCCTCACGGTGGATAGTATGGATGATGACGACGACGATAAGAAGAGCGCGGGCAGTCTTAGTCGCAGCGAGCGTGAACCGGGTAGCAGTACTCGGCCATCGACCTCGGACCCATCAGCCGAGCCGGACAGCAAAGCTAGCACGGACCCGAGCAGCCAGCTCTCTGCGCGTGACAGCGGGCACAAGAGCAATTTCATGGCTAGTCTTATTGGAAGCCGGCCTAGTACTAGTCCACCGCCGCGGTCGACAGCTACTACGAGGAGCATCGATGATCGTCGTCGCTCTCGTACACCGCCGCCACAATTGTCGCAGCATCTCTCACCTCCCCGTTCACCATCATCTCCTCATCCACCGTCATCCCCACATTCTCCTAATTCTTCCCATCCTCACGATCATCAAAATGGTGGGGAGCAACCGCCCCGCCGGTTACCGAAGAAACGGAGTCGACTCCGTTTGGCATTTTGGAGGCGTCGCAATCATCATTCTCATCAGCAAGAGCTGAGTGGCGAGACATAAGCATTTGGCAGTTTTTTTATTTTTTTGGTTCTGGTTTAATTCTTTCGAGGTGTTTTGTGGTTGCGAGGGGCGCAAAAAGAGATTTCTTTTCCACATATAAAAA